CGTCTGGAGGAGAATAAATTTCTGCTTCGAGTGAGCGAGACGTGTTCAAAGTACCTAGGTTTTGTATAAGAATGCCCACGTGACTTGACCTACTCAACTTCTGGCGAGCTCTTCAACTCATGATAAGACACATACTGCTCATCTTTAGAACCTCCACTACTTAACAAGAAGCTGCCTGCGGATAATCTGGGCTCTTCTCTTCCCAGGGGGAAATCTGATTTCGTCAACGTTTCCAGAGAATATCGAAACTCCGGAAGGCAAAAAAGAAGAAAAAAAAGAGCAGTTGACAGTTCGTGAAAATGATATTAAGCGTTAATAGAAATTGATACACGTCATTTGGATTTCGGTAAGTGTTCAAGGTGTTTATGGAATCGCCGGATGAAATATTACGATAATTAAGTTTTGCTGACTGGGGACACTTAAAGGTAAATGCTGTATGGGTTTTTAATATAAAATTTTCACAAGTCGTTCTGGAAAGTGTAATTGCCAAGGCCTAAATTTATCGACGCTATTTTGATTTTTTGGGGATTAAGAAATCTTCCTAAAATATGTTTACCTGTAGAATAGCAATGACACCTGATGTAAGAACTATCCAAATTTCTAGGGGAACATCAAAAATGGATGGAGCCACATGTTTTACAGTCTTGGTATTTGTTATTTCCAAGAAATTAATTACAAGGTTGGTCAAAAAATGTACTGGAGCGGGAATCGAACCTGTGACCACTGTAATATTGCACCAGAGTCAAATCCTTTTCTGGACCATTTTGTGGTTATTTGATGATTTCCAAGAAAAGACAGTTGATGCATGTGCTACTATAAATATCAGCAAGGACAGTAAAACCTGTAGTGTAGAGTACCTCCGAGGCTAGCAGGCCAATGCTCTATATCATGATATCCTTGGATTGTCAGAGTATAATGTTACACTGTATATTCCCAGCAGGGTATAAATAAATCTGGCATCACCCCAAGACTGCATTTTCCTGGCAGTTGCCAGTTGGGTTGGGTCATAAATGAGTGGAATCTTAAAAAGTTCAGAGACATGAGAGATTGTACACTTATCTTTTGAATTTTTTTTTTTGGTGTTAACCTACATGTAGTTGTGCATTATTAAGCTCGTTGGTCTTTGTCAAGACTTAAACTTGCCACTGGTAAACGAGTGAAAGCTCCCTTTAGAGCCTCCCTGCTCTTGAAGTTTTGGGTCACGTTTTTTCTGAAATTGCAGAATTTCATCTGCTCTGTTAGCCTTTCTTTTATTATTATTATTCCTAATCATAATTTTGTATAGGAGTTGAATTTGTGATGGAAAGACTGAACAAATTCTCTGTTTCACATGTATGTTGTTTCACTTTGCAGGCTGTTATCAAAAGTTTATTTGTTTTTTAATGAATTTTTATTATATTTATGCATTTTAGTCTTGTTTGGTGAACATTTTCCAATGAATTCAACCGATGTTTGTGCCATGTTTCTTTCAAAACTAGGAATAAGGAAAATGAACAAAGTGCCTGCGGAAGTTCCTGTATTAAGATATATGCCAAGATATGATTGGAAAAATGGCCAATAATTTGTCAAGGCTATTATTATTACAGCCTTTTCCTGCTTTTCCTCTATTGTTCAAAACCCTACGGCTCCTGGAGAAAAACCTTCGATTTCAACTTTCCAACAGTCAGTTGAGCAAGAATCACAATCTAGGGGGCTGTTTTGGCAACTTTTGGCAGTGAGCGACGTAAAATCGATAACAGCTTTTGTTTACCGCAAGGCATTTTTAAAATCCTTTCCAAAACATTCCAAGCAGCTTTTCTCCAGAAGTAGAGGATTTTGGACACGATTGCAAGCTGATGGCAAAAACTCCCTCTGCATTGCCTGAAAGAAAAGAACAATTGAGTGCATTGATTCTGAAAGCCAACTTTTGGCTAAAAAAAAAATTGACAAAAAAAAGGATGTAAAATCCATGTTCATTTAGCCTTTGGTTATTATTTAACACAGCAATTTTTCTTAGATCCATATCAAGTGGTCCAACAGTATGGTGATGACTTTTTTACAAGAAGATCCTAGATTACCAATGCTGAGACCCTTTCACACTGTTCAAAATCTTGTAGTCTTGGTCCCAGACCGAATGTAAATGTTCCTTTAAAGGTAGGGTACATCATATGTCATTCGTCCATTTTTGTTTGTTTGAAGCATCAAAAGTGCTCAAAATCTAATGACGGGTGCTTAACAACTAACCTGATGAAGTGTTAGCTCTGTGAATACTGTACATTCCAAGAAAACAATATTCCAGGATCTCGATTTCAATTCAAAAGTTGCCGATTCATGTTTTGAATTGCAACCGAAATCAGCGTCCGGGACACGTTCTCAGTCGATTGCAGCTACGCGAAATTCAGGGCCAAATAACATGCAAGCCGACATTACTGGGGTTTCCCAAACAAATATAAAAAACTATTGTCTTGTCCTTCATCGTTTCATTTCTTTTCAATTTTAGGTAGACTAGCCAATTGCATTTTTAAATATTCACACACCAAAACAAAATCACCTCTCGAAAAGTGATAGTTCCCATGCCTGCATGTACAGCCATTTTACAAGTGGCATCCCTCCACTTTCTCAAGCAAATTGGACCAATTTTTCAACCATTATTTTATCAAGCCTGCACTCAGATGGAAACCCCAAATACCCTGGAGTTGATCCTTGGCTACAATTCCACCGTTTTTAAAGCTGAACGGTCTCCTTTTTCAAAAGAAAGTTGTGGGGGCACATTTTACGCTAATGAGCTCGCGTAGAAATTCTCACTTGAATTAGTGCCCTGCACCTTTTAGGGGATCAAGACCAAAGTTATTTGGGGAACAACGTCCAAATACCCAAATCCAGGCTCAGAACAAGACGAAAAATCTCCGCTGATTAAGGAAATTATTTATCATAATATGGTCTCGGGCATGAGTAAATCCATTGAATGCCTCGGAGGTGCAAGTCTAATGTGCTGGAAAAAAATGTAATCACAGTTCTCTGTTATTAATATCTCTGGTTCGTATCCACGGGAGAGAATGGTGTGTCAATCGTAAATGTCCCCTGATAAAAATAGTACACAGCACAAGAACTCTTGCATGCCAAGCAAAAAATATCAGTGAACTACGGTGAAATTACTATTAGAAAAGGTAGTTGTGATACTTGTCTGTAGGCAGCTTATGTTTTTATATACTTGTTATAATTTTGCGAACAGCTGCAAGCCAGTAAGTCTAGTTCCCTGACCTGACAATTGCCTGACGTCTATATAAAGTGTTCTGTTTCATCTAAAGCGTCGGGTCAGGGAAGCAGACTACAGGAACAACACTTTTTCTTGGGTTTTTCCAGCATTCATGAACACAAAACTTTAAACTGGTACTCGAAACTACTAACCCCCAAATCTGTCCATTTCTGAAAATTACAGCAAAATCGCATGTTGTACCTTTAAAGATAGCGTGTTCATTCTACACGCTAAGCGTCTAAGTTGATACTCGTACTCTCAGTATGTATGGTATGATAAACCATCCCTATGATTGCATACAGATATTTTTTTTTAGGAGCAGTGAACTGTGTTTGGTTTAGATCTCGGGCAGAGGTTTTTTCTTTTTGTAAAGCAGGAGCTTGGTTGGATGTCTGGACATTTGGCCGGTGCCTCCCGTAATGAACTTGGAATGGAATGACAGCTGTTGGCATTTGGATGATGTCATACTTCAATAGGAATATTGTTATTTCTGCAAATTAAGCATTAAAGAGGAGTTACAGTTTCTGTAATGGATGCATCTGGATATATTAACTCTATTTTGAGATTTTCAAACTTGTTTATGGTAGAAAATTTTTTGTTTGTTTCCTTTTTGTAATTTAGTAATTTTTAAACTTTAAATGACTGAATGTAACAAAAAGTTATCTTCCAAACTGTTTGTTTTTTTGCACAGCATGTTGAAGCAACGTTAGTCTCTATCTGCCTTTGAATTGATTGAAAGTTTGTTAAAGAAGTAATACATTTAATTGACTTAATTCACTCCCAAGTACATTTTGTGTGTGTACTAACCTGGTACCAAACCTGTTTGATAAACTTGTCTACATGTACTTCAAAGTTTCTCCTATACTGCTTGTACATGTACTAATCTCCAATTCATCATGTACAGATTGTCATGTTGCATTATTGAACTTTTACTTAGGGATATTTACAGTTTGATTTAAATACATGTAGCCTTCACCAATATTATTGCCAGTGAGATGCGATTTATAATCTTAATCATATGGGACTTAAACACATGATGTCCTAGTACTGGTACGTCCTGGATGGTACTGTTGCATTGTAGTGTGTACTAGTGCATACCAGTGCGTACCCATGGGTACAAGTGCATACTACAGGTAGTGCGTGTTCATCTTTTCAAACCGTGGACGAAAAATACCAGAGAACAAAAGAGAACAATATCGTCAACGATTCCCAGCATACGTCCGCGATTGGGGTCGTGTACATAACCTATGGGAGTCTTCCTAGAAAGTTAGAGTACAAACAAAAGAGGGACAATAGGACGTTCACAATCGACGGTGAACACACGTTTGCGTGTGCGTACCAGTGTGTACTAGAGCGACCACTTTTACATGTTCTTTGTCTGTCAAACATCACTGAGTATACACTAATGCAATTTTGAAATTATGGTGACGCTTCTGGTAGCCATTACTGGGACATTTCCATGCCTAAGCACCCATCACATGCGCATCTTTGTTGCTCTGAAGTTAACATGTCACTAAAGGGGAGTGCATTTTGTGAAGCAAGCTCCGAGCATCCCAGTAATTGCAAAAAGCCGGCGACTGGGGTTGGTCTATAAACTGCTAATGAAGTTAAGTCGGTGAAGGGCGAAACCCCATATTGAATTTGAACATACTGATTGTGCAAAAACAAGTGTTTGACGAACGTCTGGCTCGTCTGTCTACAATCTATTTTATTTTCCTTCATTTCTTTTCTTGATTTCTTACAGAACACCTTCACCAACGCCGATCGCCTGTTGGCCAACGCGGGCCAGCTAGCTCAGACAGGGGAGTGCAACCCGGAAGACATCTACCAAGTTGCCAGGGTCCTGGAAGAGAAAGTCCGCGACTTTATCACACGGACAGAATGCCGAAAGCAGTTGCTTGACATGTCCGTATCCTTCCACACGCACGCAAAAGAGGTGAGACTTAAAGGGACCATGCAATAGACCTTTATCGTGCTGCCGCCATTTCAGTCATGTTCCCTGTATACGATAACAGTACTGAATGATAATGTTTTTTTGTGCATAAAGGAACCAGACTATTTTTCCTTCCTGCCTCGCTTTGGTTACAATGATTTGAATGGGAAAAAAATCAAGATGGCCGCAACATGATAATGGTCTATGTAATGTTTTTAATGCAATCCTTGGAAATGCACCTTTGTGTCCCATTGAACATTATTTTCAATTTTTTTGTTTGTCAATTTTCAAGGGTATTTTGGTGCCATTTGGTTTTTATGCTAATGCAAATTTCCATATATGTGTGATATCATTTCAGGCCGAAACCTCAATTCTACAGCTTTTTTAGCACCAAAAGTTGCCAGAATTTTGGACATTTTTAATTTCAATGTGAACAGAAAACCCCCAAACTGAACAGTGTCTTCTTGAAATGACATCGCAGCAACAGCGCCCTCAGTTGTCTAGAAAAGCATGGACAAGTTTAAATGTTTAAAAAAGTGGACGTTTTAAGAAATATAACCAAAAAGGAATGTTAAAACCTTTTCATACATTTAAGAGGAGTAGAAAGTTGCACAAAATGTGTTCCTAAAGAAAAAATTCACCACATGGACCCTTTAAATACCTTGACACCAATTCTTGTTGGTAATTTCTTGTCTACTTTTGTTGAGAATTGTTGTCAAGAATGGTATGTTGCAGACTTGGCCAAAAGCCTCGCCAACTCGTGGTTTGATACATTTCTCAGAGTGCTTGTGACTGAGTTTGAATGTGTTATCGTGGTCACCTGACCAAAAGTCCTGATCTGATTGGCCAATGCACACTGTTTGATGGGCAGGCAGGAAGGGACCATTTCTCATTGCTTTTAAATTATGAGCATAAATGTAGTGAAAGTCCAAGCACAAATTTGATGAATATCCACACAATCTTGGGTGTGACCCAAATAGACTGATCAACACAGTAACAAAAAAAAAGGTTGAGTTGTGGAAAAACTCACAGAAAAAAGTCTGATTTAGAAGATTTACTAGCTGGCTAGTAAAACTAGTTAAAGAAATTAAAGGAAAACCCTTTTGGCAATACTAGATTTTGTTCATGACAATCCACATTTAAGCAATTGAAGAACATTCACTTCAAAACGACCATGAAATATAACATTGATGACCCTATCGAAAGTGATGATGTGACGACAACAACAGATCAGAGAACAAATTCTGAATGCTAACCCAACATGGACCAGAAGCCCTTATGACATTTTGGACATGTTCCCAAGACCCCATGATGCTCCTTAATAATAGTACAGCAATTTGTGCTTCATTTGTCAGCCCACATATTCCTAAATATAGCGCAGACATTTACCACTTCACCTCCGGGACTTTCAACTTCTGCTTAATAAACGTGTAGACTTTGTCATAGCTGCAGCGCCCTCTGGTGTCTGGTGTTTATGGAGTAAAAGTGTGATGTCATTTCAGGCAGAAATCTCAATGTTAACAGCTATTTCAGCACCAAAAACTGCCAGAATTTTGGATATTTTGCTGTCGTAAATTTTCTTTTCTTCGGTAGTTTGTTGTTTTGTCAGTACAGGGCAGTTAAACTAGTGTGAAAACGTTTCTCACAAATGTTTTCAATGAGCAAAGTTTTGGGTTCACCATTTGAATAGAAAACCCCTAAACTAAACAGTGTCCTTCTGAACTGACATCACAGCAACAGTGCCCAGATGTCCGGCAAAGCATTGAAAATTTGAAAAGTTTGAAGAAGTGCCCTTTTCAATAAAATTTAAAAAAGGGATGTCAAATAGTTTTCATACATTTAAAAGGAATAGAAAGTTGCACAAAATGTGTTCCTAAGAAAAATTCGTCTTGAATAGAAAAAAAAATGTGTACATGTGTTGTTCAGTTTTGTCACAGGTACAATTGTACATTGTAAATCCCCTCGGATTTCACCTAATCTCCCTTAATCCCAACATCCTATTTGTGGGATTAGTAAGGCTTCAGCTGATGTCTCACTGAACATACCCATGTACTGGTACTGTGATGTAGTCAACAAAGCGCTTTAAGAACTTTCAAGGTTTACCCTCGATTTTTTTGTTAGTTGGGCAAGGCCAGACCAACTCTATCAGTTACATGTATTGGTTGCATGTACACACATTTGTGATTTGAGCTGAAATGTTGTAGTTTGCTCTGCGTGTTATTGTCTTCATTTGGAATCAAGGTTTTTTGAACAGAACTTCTTCATATTTTACTGAAGGTATTGTAAAGTTATACAAAATGAAGGCTTAGTAGCTGCATTCTTGACGAACAGAATCTTTTTTCTTTTTTTCACAACTACACTTAAGTTGACATGTACATGAGGACATTCAGTGGCCATTTTGTTATATGTCTCCTTTATTGGCCATTCATGAACACCTAAGACAGTTCACCCATTCCTATTGGTCGAGAGCCCGTCACGTGGGTGGTTTGAAACGGTTGATAAAACACTGACTGGTTTAACAGTTTGTTTTCTTCGGTGTCACATGAAATTTAGACTCCTATGAAATTTGGTATCTTTACCCTTTTATTGGTCAAACCCTCACAATCTTCACCTATGCATAAGTGAAGTCTCAATGAGTCCGCATTTCATAGTCACAAATCACCGATTCGGCCTGCAGCTCGGTGATGGTCAAGCTAACGTCACTCAGAAGTGAGCTATTTTAATAGTGGTGTCATGTGGTATTGTTTTTGATGATAACTGGTTAAGTTTTCTTGAAAAGGAAACAATTCTGGGCTGAACTCATCACGTAGAAATAAATGAGCGCAGAGTTAACCAGTAAGACTCTGTCATCAAGTCGTCACATGACCTATCATATGACCCATCACATGACATCAGACAGAGAAATCAACTCTGCCTGCTTTCAGCGACATCAGTCAGCCGACAATTAAGTGATCATATAAACAGCTCTAAACACCCCCTGGGCCGAGCTTAAAAGTCTCATTACCCAACCTCAACCCAGCCCCCTCTGTTATTCAAAAATCACAACCTATCGGTGTCTGTTGGGTGATAAATACATAGAGTACCGGGTATCTTGGACTCTGAATTAGTACCAAACCCCTCAAGCGAGGCAGTAACCTTGGCGGACAAAAGGCTTGTCTAACTTTGCCACCTGCGGACAACAATAGCTGCCGGTAAAGGAGCAAATAGGAACCCCTTTTGGGGGTAGGCACTTGGGTATGGTAATATATCTATCAGAGTCGAATCATTATTGTCAGTGTAGAATAGAGCTTCTGTCACTGTCAGATTGGATGTGGCTAAATGGACCATTACTGATTTATTTGGGTAGTAAATGTCTTGAAAATGTCCTGAATCAGTCCATCTGAGATTCACGTCGATGTGTATTATCTTGCACTGAAATTTAACATTTGTGATGGTGTTAATTGGTGAGTATTTTGACGTTGGATTTTTTCATTGAAATTTTTCTAAAGTTGTAATCTTTCTGTGGTTAGTTTTGCCTATAGTTTGCCTATTGGGTAGAATATTGTTAAGGTACTGTGTGTCCTAGAAGGTAGTATTGACAAATGTATAGAGAGCAAGAAAAGATTTAATGGAATTGAGACTGGATGTCTTGTGGGGTCTCGTCTACAACTCTGGGTTGGAGGTAACTACGACCCACTGATGGTTATGTGCACTTGTAGTAGTTCGTAGTAGATCTGATACATGTACGTTGTACCTTCTATCCTGTTCCAAAATGTGACACCTCCCCGTCCATGTGCGCTAAGTATCATCTTCATTTTCATAATTTGTTGAAGGAATTAACAGACGAACACCAAATGTGCGCCTTTTTAGCCATTGTGCCACAGAATCTTGGTCAGAAATATACATTAGGCGTTTGGTATAAAAAAAAAATTGTAAGAACCAATTGATTGAAATTAGCCCTAATTTTATGTACAGACTGATAATATTCAACATTTGTAATAATGTGTCGGTCTAGCCTAATGACTTAACAAAACGTGGACTTATCCCATTATAACACAACACTGCACACTTGTCTTGCTAATTACCGAAAAGCACTTAGATTTGGAAAAACAAAAATGATAGAAGACCTAGTTTTATAGGGAGGTTTAAACAAAGGGATTTTCTTGTACATACTAGCGTAAAATTCTGATGTTGAGGCATTGAACTGCTTAAAGAAAGACTGTAAATTCTTCTTTTATTCTTTTTGGATTGTAGCCCATGCTTTTGAGTGGCCTTAGACTTGTGTTTAAAAAAAAAAAAAATCATTTTCTTAAAAATTTTTATTTTTTTTTTCTCCACAGTTGACAGCGTGGTACAAGGAACTCCAGGAGAGTCTGAGTATTGAGGAGACGTCGGAGGCGGCAGAGGAGGCAGAGGAAGAACTGAACAAATTTGAACATCAGAGGGACATCACCATCGACGCCTCGGTCAACACCATCAGCGAAGGACAGAACCTGGTGGATCATTTAAGGTTAGCATTGGTGGATGCGTTAATCCCCTAAGTAACCTACCAAATTATCATCAAAAAGCTTACTTGGATAAAAGATCATACTGGTACTAAACGCCCCTTGAAATTATTCCGTCTGGCTTGCTGTCATTTAGAAGAAATCAAGAAATGTAGGTGATTTCTAACGATAAGTCAATTGACTGATTTTTGGAAATAAAGAGTGCTATAGAGGAAATTATGTTTTGTGATCAAAACGTTGTACATGGTTTTTCACCCTTTTCTCAAAAAAAAATGTAATATCCACTGAGCTGAAACTTAATTCATCATGTTAGGTTTTGAACATTCTTTGTATATATTTTGAGTGGTGTTATTATTGGAAATGAACAAAATAAATGAAAGCAAATGATCCTGCCTTGAATCTTGATACACCCAAGCTCCGTGATACACCTCAGCATGCATTTATCTGGTAACCTTTATGGCAACACTGTAGGAGTTCATTTACCCAAAGGTCTACCCAGGAAGTAATGATCACAGACTTGGAGCTAACCCTGCTCATGTGGAGAAATAGACCCTAGAGACAAATTGATTGAATGATGTAAAGCTGGTTTGGCGGCTGGTTATCAGGTTACAATCTAAATGTCAAAGCAAAAAAAACCCTGCCCTGTGCACACTGGGAGACCACTGTGACTAGTCTTGATTCAGGGTGCTTTGAAATAATATAATCTGCCGGGCATGCTGTGCATCACATTAAAAATTTGTCACATGGTCAAAAAAGGTCAGAGGCTACTACTAATGTTAAAATGGGTCCAAGTTCAGATGTCAATTCCAATTCATCGACTTCTTTCTTTTATTTACTGTTCGTGTTTGATAAAAAATGGCCATGCGCATAAATATTGTACATTTGACTAAAATGTACTTGAAAATGGACTTTTCTTAAAAAAAGTTGTAATTAAAAAAAAAGTTGTAAATATGCTACTCTTGATTCAGCAGTAAAATCAGGTGTAAAACAAATTAGTGACCAAAAGTTAAAACCATGTCATTGCCAACAAATCTTTTATCAAAAAAATCCATCACTTGCTGGAATAAACCTTGTCTTGATTTCAAAGAAATAAAGCGAAGTTAAAACACTTGGTGACCGAAAATGTAAATGATCGGTCCCTAAACTTGTACGGTAAATGCCCTTTTTTTTAATATGAAAAGACTACTAATAGACATAGTGAAGCTCTCTTAGGAAGTGATACTTAAAACGACTAGTCAACCGGACGGCTTGGGTGATGCCCTATTTCTTTAATCCGATAACATCTTTAATAATAACGCTTCTCTGTTTTCAATGAAGTGTGATGATTTTTTTTCTTACAACTCTTAACATCTCTTCTCCTGTGTTCAACACCTCCGCAGACAAATCGCCATGGATACGGGCAAAGTGACGTACAATGGGGCGTGCAGCCACATTGAGGGCATCCTTCACAACTTGGAGGACGGCCGATCCAAGCTGGACAGTCTGTGGGCCAGCCGACGGATGAAGCTAGAGCTGTGCCTGCAACTCAGACAGTTTGAGAGAGACGCCTTAGAAGTAAGATCTTTAAATACATTGATCCATTTCAATGTTCAGTTTTTGCCCTGCACCGACGCAACTTTATAAGCACTATACTCAGTGGTAAAGTACTCGGGTGGGACTCGAACCCACAACCTCCTGCTTACACCAGGGTGGTGCAAAAAGAAGGAAACCCACTTTTGACAGCAATTTTCACCCACTTGTTGAGCAAATTTCCAAAATTCAATTTTAATGGTATTAAAATATTGATCTTTAAACATAAGTGACAAAAAAGTGATTACAAGTGCATATTTTGTCTCTGAGATGGTGGTTTAAACATTTCAAGTGCCAAACCTGTTTGTCCACGGACGGCTTTATTCCATCCTCTTGACTGAGCTCCGGAGCTTGATTTGAAGAAAAAAAAACACTACACTAGACTTACACGTGGACAACAGTGATTATGGTGATTTGTATTCAAATTAGCATAATAACACTATTCTTGCGATTTTTTTGTAAAGATTTGTTCACAACAAATGGTTGAAGAGCTATACTTCACTACATTATAAAAAACAGTTCAAATAAGTTCAGTAAGTAGGTTAAACTTCCTGTCAAAACTGGGTTTCCATCTTTTTGCCCCATCCTGTAGTGCAGATGTCTTACCACTTGACCATCACGCTTTCTGGGTCGGCTGGTTTGTTTGAGACAATCAATGAATTAGTCTTGAAAGTCTTTGGACAACACTGAGTATATAATCCTCTTGGTTTTTTTGCAATCTTCATGAGCTCCATGGTTAAAGGGAATGTACATCATTGGCTTTTGCTGTAATTTTCAGAAATGAACTATTTGAGGGGTTAGTATAACAGATCAAATATTGTTTGACTGACATGTTTGAAGTTTTGTGTTCGAAAATGCTTGAAAAACCAAGAAAAACAAAAATGTTTAAGTAGTCTGGTTCCCTGACTCCACTAAAGATAAAATGGATCAATTTATAGTTGTCGGAAAATTGTAAGGTAAGGGAACCAGTCTAGCTGGCCTGCACCCGTTCATGAACATGTAACCAATAGCAAACAAAATTTGGACTGAAAAAAAAAATGTAAATTTGGAGCAGTAGTTGAAAAATAGTTAGGTTTTTCCAACGGTGGTCGGCCGACCACCGTTGGAAATGTATACAAAAATACTGTTTTCTTGAAAATGACTTGATACCAGTTGTTATAATTTTACAGGATGTTTCAGACTGTCACTTACCAACATCCTAGAAAGGTATTTCGTAAAAACTTGGTAGTTTTATTTTTCGATGTTTGCAAATGTTGTATCTTCCCTTTAACTTTCAAACAATGTTTCTTTCCTCCTTCAGCTCTCCACCCAGCTGCCGAGGTACACGGCCGAGATGCACGCTGCCGATTTCAACTTTGACATCGACACGGCCGACCTGATGCTGAAGGAACACTTGGATTTCTTTGACGGCATGCAGGAGAGAACGGTGCAACTCATACAGAAAGTGAGTATTGATTTGGGATTCTGTGCCCATAATTAATAGAAATAACAGGCATGCAACTTTTCCTCGGATCCGCTGATTTCCTTGTTTTTTACTTCTCATGAATGCCATTACAAATTGAAAAATACTGTACAAAGTCTTGTGTGGTTTGGAGTTTCTTTTTTTGGGTGTAAATTCAAAGCAATGTGCCCTCGGATGCCAAGAATGCAGATAAAATGAGGACAAACCATGTTTTTCTTACCACTTGTTTACCCATCCTATCAAGTTTGTAAACAGTTGAAAACGGGTCACAGTGGAGCCACTTTTGTGACAGCAGTGGCCCAAAATATGATGTTATCTGTTTTCCACAGAATTAGCTTCAGAAACTAGCTTCTTTTTTTTTAGCTGGAATAGCACAGACACTGGCTGTGCCACTTAAGAGCGCCATTTCTAGATGTTCCAAGGTACATGTGTACTACAACAGAAAACAATATTAAGGTTAATCATTAAATATTGCGAATTAATGGCCTTATGCCGGGGACTATTATTACCCCCGCTCATTTTGCCTATAAAACCTTCCAAAGACCATCTCAGCGAGCGAACCAATAACAGGTTGACCTCTGAGTGACGTCAGGACTATGCCAGTGAATAACGAAACTATTCCCTCTTTCATCAGAACAGAGCAAGGATATAGCTGCAAAATAGAGACTCATTCACAGTGTCACTTTGCAAGTTGCTGAGGTATCTGTATCTGTAGGCATACGTTGCAGAAACCACAATTTGGTAGTATGAACGCAACGTAAGATTCAATGAAATTGGTGTAAGCTTGTAATTGCCAAGAGAAAGAAAGTTTCAACCCAACAGTGCAAACAGCTCATTGCATTCTACAAATGACATCATCTGAAGAAAATACAGGAGCGAACAGAAATAGTTGGCATGCTGACGCTGGTGATATATTTAACTGTACACACACACACATCTGGCCTGTTGAGTATTACCCCAGTAAGTCTTTGAGAATACCGGAACTCCCAAATGTTATACCAATCACAGTGTTAATACCAATTGCAGTTTTGCCTCACAGTAGTCATTGCTACAGGAGGCTTACCAGAGAGTAGGGAAATTCCTGCTGAGTTTGCTATCTCGTGCATAAATAGCTCTCACATAATTGACAATGTTGAATACGACCATGTCGGTAAGTTGGGTTTTTTTGTGTGGCAAGCGTGTGTGACAATTTTGGCTGAAGATTTGCCAAATTGACGTTCATTAAAGCACCTGTAGAGCTTCAAATGGTTTTATCTTCACAATTCAAGCTGTGCCTGCTCTTCCGGTATTGTTTCAACATGGATCCTGATTCTGTTTAAGATCTTGCACAGATTTGTGTGTTGTAGTAATTGACAAACTGTTAGTGTGAGTACAGGAATAAGAGGGGAAAAAGGGTGCTTGCCATTGCATGAGTATTTTTACTTCATCTGCTTTCTTATGGTTGAGAACTTAAGTAGTGAAGGTAAGTTATTGAATAGAGTAGACAGCTATAGAGTGGAGTAATATTTGATGTGCACAAGTTCAATGAGCCATGCTTTTCAGCATACATGTACACACATTCTTGTAGTTTTGGGGACTTCACGTGAGTTGTCCCATGGTACTATCTATGCGGACCGAAGACGCTGTGGGGACAGCAGAAAGTCCCCACAACTCGGTCGTAATTTGCCTAACAATAAAAAACTTCCCCATAACGGGGTGACATGTATGTAGGCTGTGTAAGGATACCACTTTTTTGGTGCAAACGGTAGAAAAAAAATCTTGTTTTTCAAAGCAGTTCAGTCACTTCACATCAATCTAAAAATTTAAAAATTGCAAAAAGTTGGCCCATGACATGCAGAATACTGGTATGATTTCATACATGCAAGAGTGCAAGTCTAGGAACACAGGTACAAGTGTCAAAACAACTATCTAAACACTTACCTCCACATTCCCCTAGACTCTTCCAAGTGAAATCCCACCAACTCTCAAACGTAACCTTTGACCTCTGACGCATCTCTTCTTCTCTCCTCCAAGGGTCGCGACCTGCAGCAGCTTCTGGAGTCGACGGGCATCGAGCTGATGTCCAGCGGTCAGTTCTCGGCTCAGACCAGGGTCCAGGTTCTCCTAGACGACATCAAAGATGGCTACCTGGAGCTGGAAGACATTGCGGAGGTCCGACGGGCCAAGCTGGAGCAGTGTAGGAACCTGAGAGAGTTTGAGATCGATGCAGAACAGGTGAGCGGTGTAGTTTTGTATTTTCATGGTTACTTTCTCAGACTTTGTGCTGAGATAATGAAGAGTGTAAAAAAGTAAACGGACATACTCATCTATTAAGAGTGTTGGTACATTTTTTTTCACCTAATTGTTTGTGGATCCTAGAAATTTGTTTGTCCACCATTGCAGTGAGAAACTTTCAAACAATGATCACTTACTTCTGGTGTCTTTCGCTTTTAGTCCTTAATTGCAAAGTTTTGATGCACTTTAAGAAAGATGATTTGTGAGAGAAAATGATGAGTGATGTCTGATTGCCTTTTCCCAATTTTGCAAGATTTTGTACGTTATCTAGCATTGTGATTTTAGGCATGATCCCCAATCACATTGCATATATAAAGGCATTAAGTTGACTAATTGACCTATCGCCGTTTGCGAGTAAGCCACGCCCCTTAGACAACCTTGTGGAGTTTTTGTACACCAGGTTTCGATTGTCTCAGATTTTGCGCGTTCCGCGTCCATTTGTATATCATGTAATTGGACAATATTTCACAAGCTGCGTTGACGCAGTTCTAACGCGATTCTACCGCGATAGGTCAATTGACTAATAGGGCTGGATAGCTCATTTGGTAGAGCACCCGAACGGTGTTCTCTAGTTCATGAGTACAAATCCCACTCGTTGTTTTCTTTGTGCAGCTGAATGTGGTTGAAGAAAGACACTGAATATTTTAAAATTGCAGGATCATTAAGTAGTTGCGGTAATTGCTGAAAATGACCTGCAAGAGCAAACTGGTAAGAAAATCTGGTATGTTGATGAGATTGTTTTGACTTTGTTTTTGTCCAGGTGGAGAGCTGGATCAAAAGTGCTGAGAAGATGCTCTTGATGGTGACGGCCGTGCCCAACAGCTTTGAGGAAGCGGAGAGATTACAGAAAGAGCATCAACAGTTTGAAAATGCCATAGAGGTAGGTTCTCGTCATATGCTTTCATACATTCAAACTTCAGAAATGTATGGCTCCTGGTTTGTCTGAGTTTGTGGATTTCCCATTTGTGTCAGTGCTTTGGTTGAATCCTTCCCATATCTTCACAAGTCCATCACAAGTCACTCACAAATTATCCAGTCTCAAATCACAAGCATTTCAAATGAATGTGTCGAAGCAGTCATTGGCATTTTCACCCCTTGTTACTTGTGACTGGACTTGTGGAAGGACTTTTTCTGATTGGAGTTACGAGAGAATCAACGTCAACATTGACAGTACTCCTTATTAATTACCTAGGATGTACTTTTCCTTCATTTGACTTCAACTGTCAGTTCCTGAACATGAAACTCAATTTGTTGAAAAGGTCCGTAGCATTCTTTTTAAAGAAGCCAGCTGCTTGAGGTTCTGTTAACTGAGAATAGAAAAGTGAATCCATTTTAAAAGTTATCAAGAAGAGTGCAACTTTTTAAAATCCAAATATCCCCATTCGGTACAAAGGGTGGCTGTTATCAAAATGTGATATTGCATTCTCAGAAACAAACATTTCTTTTCATGATGGTGTGATTATGTGTGCCTTTCCGAACAACATTTTCCATTCACCATTATTTCCAAATACAAATCTGCTATTTGTGTCGTACTTTCCCGTCATTCACCAGAAAACTCAACAAAGTGCAATACGTCTCCACGACAATGCCTACAAGTTGCTGGAGGTCCATCACTATGACAGCGAGCGGATCCAGAGCATTGCGACCAGCGTGGACCTGCGGTGGTCCCGTCTCGTCTTACGATCCGAGGACCGGCGGAAACTGTTCCAGTATGCTGGCAGCTTCTATAAGACATCAGAACAGGTGAGAGAGTATAAACCATTGTCATCACAATGTAACCGGACGCCAGTTTCATTGGGCTGCGAATCACAGAAATGTACTTGGCAAAAAATAGGTAACCAGCCAAGAAATTTTAACTCCCTAGGAATTTTCGCAAGAACTCGATCCGAATCCTTCAAATTTTGCAATAAATTTGAGTTGCTCTCTTTGTTCTCTTCAAAAAATTCATTTTTTTTCTACTAAAATTATAATTTTCTTTTTTCTATGTTTTATGTTGACGAGAAAGAAAAATATGTGTTTTTCTTTTGTGGGTCTGCAACCCTTTAAGAAAAGGCTTTGATTTGGGGTTTCTTTTGTGCTTCCAATGCCTGAATTATTGGGCCGCAAATTATATGAAAATTTGTAGTTATTATTTAATTTATTATTCCATAACTACACCCGGACAGATTTTTTTCGAAATGATTTCGTATTTAAAAGTGAATAACTTCTGTATTGCTGTAAATTAGAAATTTAAAGAAAAGAATAGCATGAGGAGTGTAACTTTTAACTTTGAAGATACAAGGGCATCAAGCTTAACCTCCTGCTGTTTGAACAATCACAGACGGTCAAAAGATCAATCCTCTTCCCTGCCATGCCTTTTACACGGGCTAGTCACCAATAGTCAGATCATATTTCAACGAGCACTGTGGCTAGTCAAATTAAGTCAACAGACAAAAGCAGGCAAGAAGTAGGCACAACTGGCTTATCAATCACCTACAGTCAAAGCATAGCTGTATCAAGTTACATAAACAGTCGCAGCCAGTCAATCCTGCTTTATGTAGGCTGGAAGCTCTTAACTGTTGAACACAGTCACTTAATTGATTTTGACTGAAAGGACAACTTTGCACAGAATGTATGTTTGCATAGGAGGGTTTATATACATGTAACTAGACTTTACCTTCTTTAACACTTCAAACTCAACAAAAAGCATCAGATGAACTTTGAAATTTGTTTGTTGAAACCAAATGGACAACCCACTCTTTCATCTTCCCCACCCCCCCCCCCCCCCCCTACCACCACGCAGGTCCAGTCTGTCTTGGAGGATCTCCAACGGGACTACACTCGGGATGAGGACTGGTGCAGTGGCGGCCGGGAGCACTCCACCCCAGTCTCGGAGACAGAGATGCTCAAACTGATCCAGAAACACCAAGACCAGAAGGAGAGTTTCCTAAAGGCCTGCACCATGGCCCGACGCAATGCCGAGAGCTTCCTGAAATATCTCAAGAAATGTAACAGCGGCCAGCCGGCCGTCTCCCCACCGTCGGGGGTGGTGCGAGGTCCGGAGACTTATGTCAAAAGTGAGTTCTTTCACATAAATTTATAAAAATTGGATTGGGTTAAGGGATACTATTTGTGAACATTAGCTGCAAAGACTGTTTTAATGAAGCAACTGGTTGCAGACAATCTTCATGTAAAATTTAAAGAGGTTGTGGAATGCTCAAAGACACTTCCGTCATTTTTTGGGTATATGTAGCCTAAGGTGTGATGAAATAAAAACGACTATTGTTTCTGTCATGAAATGAGTACAAAGGGTACTTTTGAGAGCTATTTTTCAGGTCCTGTTTCGACCCGAACGCGCAATTTGTGTAAAAGTCGTCGTTGCGGGCAGCAAACAAAACACAGTAAATCGTGACGTAATAAACAGGACTCGTTCATGCTACTCTGCATCGGGAGTCCTGTTTATTACGTCACGATTTACTGTGTTTTGTTTGCTGCCCGTAACGACGACTTTTACACAAATTGCAAGTTCGGGTCGAAACAGGCATGACAGGACTTGAAAAACAGCTCTCAAAAGTACCTTTTGTACTCATGTTATGACAGAAACAATAGTCGTTTTTATTTCATCGCACCTTAGGCTACATATACCCGAAAAATGACGGAAATGTCTTCGAGCATTCCACAACCTCTTTAACAAAAGCACTGCGTATACTGTGTGCGTGTGGTGTGGAGTGCAAGGCCAAGCACCCAATTTTAAGCACTCCTCAGCAGTGTTAAAATTGTATTTTAAAACCAGCTCATACCGGGCTCTCAACCTAAACTGTTTTATTTAAAAAAAATGTTGTGTATAATCTGAGGAATTTCCATAAACTGTTTGAAAAATGAGTTATGTCCTACCTGGAGATTGCTGGCAGTGCATACACTTGTCCTCAATTTGCTTGTGAATATGTCTTGTATGTTTTAATGGGTAACCATAATGTGAGTCTGTGTTTTATCAGGTTGGTACATTAGTTTTGAAAGAATTATTTTTTCATTCATTTGTCATTTGTGCATTTTATTCATTTGAAGCAACGAACATGCTCAAAATCTAAAGAAGGGTGCTGAACAACTAACCTGATGAAGTTTCAGCTCAGCTTCAGCTGTATATTTCGAGAAAAACAGCATTCTAGGATCTCAATTTCAAATCAAAAGTTGCTGAATCATGTTTTGAATTGGGCCTGCAGCGTCCGCCGAGACACGTTCTCACTGAGCCGATTGCAGCTACGCGATGTCGCGCACTGATCCGACAAATTATAGCTGCCGAGCGCGCGCGTGTATCGTGTCAACACTTGCGCGCGCTTTGTCGAATATAAAAACGAACTACTAACGGAAATTTCCAACGGTGCGTCTTAAGACGCACCGTTGGAAAGGCCTTCTTTCTTTGATTTTTTCAAAGTGACAGCATGCCAGAAAGAACAATTTCACAGGGAGTTTAGTCCCCTAACTATCTTTCAACCAAGTATGTTTTTCAACAATAATTACGTCAGTTACTTTTTGGATAGCTGCAAATGATGGACTATAGCTTTAAGACTGACTTTCTCAAGGCATTTCCTGTTTAAAGACTTAGTGGTCTCCGAACTTGCACCATGTAATAAATTGCCATTCCTTGAATAATTGTAATGACCACAAGAAATTGCTGTCATGCTGACTGCTGAGCCCTAGGGACTCCCTCTATTGCCATAAAACCATGGTAGTGGACATGAACTTGCAGTGACCATCTTGAGCCAAGAAATTGTCCTCTCTGTCTGGAATGTTTCCAGTATGGTTGCATCACTGGTAACACACACACGCTTTATAATGACTACTGCTCTGTATGGGGACACCATCCATGACTTGTTTGCAGAGTTGTTGTCGAGTCAGTAACAAGTCAAATCACAAGTCATCAAAAGTCAATCACAAGTCCTCACAAAATAAGTCGCATCACAAAGTTTGAATGTGTTGTGATTGACTTGTGAGGACTTGTGATTGACTTGTGAGGACCTGTGATTGACTTGTGAGGACCTGTGGTTGCCTAGTGAGGACCTGTGGTCAGGACTTGTGTTTGACTAGTGAGGACTTGTGAGGACTTTTTGGTTGACTTGTGATTGACTTATGAGGACTTTTGATTGACTTGTGAGGACTTGTTAACTGCCCAAACACTAAATGGGGACTTTTTGTGGTTTTCAGGGATTCTGGAGGAGTTGTTGTGCCAAGAGGACAAAGTTCTTGAGAGCTGGACTCAGAAGAAGAAACGTCTGGATCAGTGTCTGCAGTACGTCTTATTTGAACGCAGTGCAAGACAGGTAATTATTTGATAAATGCAGAAACATATTACATCATAATAAAGCAGGTTTGTTTTTTTGTCAGCATAGCACATTGTCTCCTTCTGATGCATGTTTTTCTGTAAATTATTATGCATCAGGCCCCAAGGAGGATGTAGTAAAAAATAGTGCAGTTCACATGCCCTTGCCAAACAAATGTGATGTGATCAAGCTACATGAGTCGTTTGTCAACCCTGGTAAAAAAAATTTATTACAGATTTGAAAAGAGCACAATATCAGCATTACTGCTGTGAACACCGCATGCTGATACCATCTTTAGTTAAAAAATTATGGAAGTCGGAACACCAAGAGATGTGATGAAGTGATGTGATGATGTGGCCCTATTTTGGCCTGTATCTCCAAATAAAAATTCCCGACAAACGACTCATTTAGCTTGATTGCATCACAAATGTTCAAATTGAATTGTAAACAGCGTAATGACACGTTGTCCAAACAAAACCAATCCACGTTAGGTATGAAAGATTATTTAAGTTCCAAATTGTCTATAATCGGTCTTAAAATGTTATCCTTAGCTATGCCTAACTAATAATTTGATAATTTCTAATAATTTAGTAATTACTGGATATTTAATAATTACTGTATTCAGTGCTGACCGAGAGCTTACAGTGTTGACCGAGAGCTTGGGTTGGATTTGAACCCCAACCTCTTGCTTACTAGTAGAGAAGCCTTAACCACTTGACCACCGAGCTTGCCGGGTCAACTGGTTGGTTCGAGTTTACACCTCCCAAATTCAAAATTCTTTCAAACGAGATCCTTACATTCTTTTTTTTCTCGATGCCATTTTCTAGGCCTTAGAGTGGATTCACGACACGGGAGAGTTCTACCTGTCCACTCACACCAACGTTGGAGATAACCCTGAAGAGACGCAGGCACTTCTCAAGGAACACAATGAGTTCAAGGGTACTGCCAAGGTAAATTGAAGAAAAAAAAGTTGCATCTTTGGTTTATAAAAAAGAAGCAAGTACATTGTCTGAAATTTGAATAAATTTGATTCTGCTGTGCTGGGTTATTATTTGGAAACGGTGTTTCTGTTATTTGTTCATTGTGGTTCAGAGAGTTCAGCTTCAGAATTAAATAAAGCAATCGTTTAAGCCCCTTTTTGTGAGAACTGGGTGGATAAAACAACTGTGTTGAGGTACCGGTATTGGCTGAATTTTTGAATGCACTGTGCGTGAATAGAAATGTAGGGCTCTGTTGAGGCACATGTTTGCTCTAAAACTGTGTCTTGACCACAGGGTTTCTCTTCCAAATCGCAGTGATGTACTCAACTTGCTAATAAACTACTAATAATTAGTTACCTGTTGATTTTAGTATTTGGATTTGCCCTTCACCACTTATTTATTTATTTATTACATTTCTTTACCCAGGGTATGCCCAAACAGTTCAAAACTGGTTTGCATTGGGGCCCTGCATTCAATAAAAAATGACTACAAACATGTATACAAATACAATACATTACAAACACAATACAGTACAATACAATAGGATTTTAGTGGGTGCCAGATTAGTTAAATGAATAATGAATTGAATAATTTCAGTGGCTAACTTTCCGTAAAAGATTAAGTTTCTGTGGCTTACTTTGCCAAAAAGATTAAGTTTCTGTGGCTATCTTTGCCAAAAGGGAAATACAATTTGACAGGCTTTACTCTATAAATAATATGATAACTGCGGCAGTATTTTTGCCAGTGAAAATTAAGTAAGGCTTGTATTTATTTGTAAGTAACACAGAATAGATAAAAGGAACCGCCTGGGGTATCGTTACAAGTACTAATTAAATGCAACGTCACCTTAGCTCACTTATTAGCTTAATGTTATAAGCACTGTTTGTTCAGTACTTTTCCAATATTTTGTGAGGAGAAACCACACAAGCTTACTCTGGTGGGAATCGAACCCACAACATCTGTTCAAAAAGATTTTGCACTCCACCGTCATGCTTGCTGAGGTCTGCTGGTGGGTTGTAATCTGAGATCGGTAACAAATATCACAATCAAAGGCTTTTGACTCCATCAAAACTTATCCAGCTGTTGCATGGCAAAAAAGGTCCATAATGAGAACTACTTGTTCATGAGAGATTGTTATGGCTGTCTTGCTCAACAGGATACACGAGAGAAAGTCAAATTACTGCTGCAGCTTGCCAACAGCCTTGTAGAAAAGGGCCATCTCCATGCCTCCAGCATCAAGTCATGGGTGTCGGCCGTAGACAACCGATACAGGGACTTCTCCCTCCGCATGGACAAGTACCGAGCTCAGCTAGAGGGAAGGCTTGGGCTCAGTCACGAGGTCTGTGGATTTATTTTTGTTTTACTTCTTTCTGGTATTGAAATTTGGAATGCCTCCAACTTGCACAGATGCTTGGATACCTGTAGAAATAAAGAGATAGAAAACCTTGGTGAAAAGATTCACTTTTCAGAGCTGGGGAAAAAACCAAGAATGGCCTTTCTGGGGGAACCCATAGAAGCAGGCCGCAACCGTCGGTGTGGGCAGGAATCGAACCCAGTCATAGACAGTTTGGTTCTGAGAACCGTGCAAACAATTACTACTGCACGCTGTGATGATTGCTGTCTTCACAAGTTCATTTTGATATCTGCTTGTGGAACCAGATGATTCAGGTTCAAGAGTTCCGCACAAATCTAGTAAGAGCCAGTAAGAAGGGACACTCAGGAAGAAGCTCTGCTGCCAACAAATATGCAATAAATCAAATTAGGTTTTGCCCTTCACCGACGTTTAAACACTTTATACTCAGTGAGTTACCTCCCGAGTGAAAGTTTGAAAAAAATCACTCAGGTGGGACTCGAACCCACGACCTCCTGCTTTCTAGTGCAGATGTCTTACCACTCGACCACCGAGCTGACGTACATAGCAGCGGGTACCGCATAAACTATTGTAAGATGGAATTTTGCGTCGGGGTGATATAAATCAAATTCCATCTTATAATAGTTAATGCGGTACCCGCTGCTATGTACATTAGATTCGAAACGGCCAACCCATCCCGTTAGCTCGGTGGTCCAGTGGTAAGACATCTGCACTAGAAAGCAGGAGGTCGTGGGTTCGAGTCCCACCCCAGTGATTTTTTCCAACTTTCACTCGGGAGGTAACACACTGAGTATACAGTGTTTAAACGTGGGTGTAGGGCAAAACCTAATTTGATTCATATCACCCCGACACAAAATTCCATCTTATAAAATATGCAATAAGTAAAATGAAATCCAAATTAGGAACAAAACTGAGTACAAAGGCCTCACGTCTTGGATTCCTCTATTTTTACTGGTGCCCGCAAATTCAGTAGCTTATTTAATTATTGAACAGTGCATATGAACCAACAAAGTGTCCTAGTTACACTCTCATTATTGAGTTACAAAAAGCCGTCTTTTGTTCACCGATGTATACCAAAGATCACCCTTGGAAAAAAACTTGATGTCTAGAAAAACAACTCTTTAAGATGTTTCGGGAAACAGTCTATCACCATTTCAAAATGTTTCCTCTTTCATGTCTTCTCTAATAACTGTTGCCTTTAGGATGATGCTAAGGACCTGTCCATCGACCATCGCATGTCCGACACCAGCCTGGAACTCAAGCTGCGAGACGCCAAGGAGTCGAACGAGGACAAGAGGAAGTCGGCACGGAAACGAGACTTCATCATGCAAGAACTGCTGCAGACGGAGAAGGCCTATGTCAGGGATCTACACTGCTGTATCAATGTATGTATTAAGCTGTACTTAACCCAAGACCCTTGAGAAGGTAGAATCCTTGTAGCATTACACAAACTTTCTTATCAGTATTTCAAAATTTATTCTTCAGAGTGGGTCAGTTTTTTGGGGGTGCTAAGCCTAGAATGTTGGTAAGCCAAGAATATATGCGGTGCTCCATGACAGAAACCAGGCTGTTAGTGCAGAAGTTTGAAGAACTTGGTTACTATGTCCAAACACTGTCAGATTTACTCCTTTATCCTTCTTTATGTTCTTTCTTATTCCGTAACTTATTTTATAAAATCTGATTGGTGGGTCGTTGACCATGTGTCATTGAATTATTCGTCCCAACCCACGGCCCGGCCACACTGCAAAAATAGAAGTTCCATTCCACGGTAAATGGAAGTTTCATTGCACGGTCACACTAGTTACAATCAGATGACGAGGATTTATCCAGGCGTTGTATAAACAAAATAATGAATGTTTATGAGTGTAGTGGTAAGAATAATATGAGGTGACAAGTGGAATGTTCCATTCCCTTCGCCTCGTGGAATGGAACATTCCATCTGTCACCTCATGAAATTATTCTTACCATTGCACTCATAATCATTCACAATTTGTGTACTATAAACTTATTCCCTAACTTGTTTTTAGCAGAGACGTATGTGGTTTTTGACATGGGATATCACATTACTTAGCCAATATAGATTTACTAGCCGAAATTTTATAAAATGTATATTGAGTTTAGACATATAAGAAGTACATCAATCAAAATCTGAAGTGAACAGTACCATATATCCGATAGAAGCAATGGAATTTTCTATGTTCTGTCTTACTGTTTAATTTACAAAAAACTGTCAAAAATTTCAGTTTGAGTGAAACGGAAATAAATTATTGAAAGTCAGTATAGAAAATAGCTTGTCTCGGTTGCTGTCTTGGCAGAATTACCTTTGTGAGATGGTGGCCTCTGTTGTGGAAGTGCCTCAAGGCATTTTGGGTAAGGAGCACATCCTGTTCGGCAACATTGAGGAGATCTACAGCTTCCATAAAGAGTAAGCACTTTGACATAATCCCCCACTCAGACTGGGGTCAGTGTGTTGTTTCTGTCTAATTATCTTATGCGAAGAGAGTTTATGGTGTGATATTGTCTAGTCTGATGGGTACTTCTCTAGCCTTCTGGTTCTGTGATCTAGGTTCAAAATCTTGCCTGGCCCAACTTTTGCATTGTGTTTTGATTCCCAGGTTTGGATCCAATGATTTTCTCAAAGAACGATTTTAGGTCTTAAAATTTTCTGAACCAAAAGTGGTTTGGGAAAAGAAGGCCAAAAAAAACCCCTGTTTTTTTTTTAAAGTGTAAAAGTATATCGTTTTATGGAGAGATGCTTTTGTTGTATTTTGAGTAAACAAGTTGGATTTAGTAGTTAGTAAGGTTGACGTCTGCTTCATACCAGTATATCAAGTGAAGTTTACTGGGTAGTGAATTTGTTAGGATAATGCTGACTGCCACACTGAAACTGAAATTGTTAATGCTATAAATTTCACATTGTTTCATTTTTTGTGAAGTGCTTTTTGGGAGACAGAATAGCTGCTTTTCCAAAAGCTAGACTGATGACCATTGAACGTTACCCATGGATCATAAATTAATGTTTTGGATTCACTCTGGGTTTTGGTTTGAACAGTATCTTCCTGAAAGAGTTGGAGAAATACGAAGCTATGCCAGAGGACGTCGGCCATTGCTTTGTCACATGGGTAAGGAACAGAGCCAGTCATTGGCTAATCCAGCCAACAAACTTAGCAGCTATTACTAAAATAGAAACCACGCTGGCATACATATTGAACGTATTTTTGAAATCGGGGCCCAATTTCATGGCTCCGCTTACCACAAAATTCTGCGCTTACGATCACTGTTATGTGCTTCATGTAACTGTGGCAGCAGAAAAATCCTGTGCTAACCCTGTAAGCACAGAATCCTTAGTTAAAGCTATAGTCCATCATTTGTAATTAGTGCATTTTGTTCGTTTGAAGCAACAAAAGTGTTCAAAATCCAATGAAGGATACTGAGCAACTAACCTGATGAAGTTTCAGCTAAGCTTCAGCTGTACATTCCGAGAAAAACAGCATTCTAAGATCTCAATTTCAAATCAAAAGTTACTGAATCATGTTTTGAATTGTTTTGAATTGCAGCTATACGCGACGTCGCGCACTGATCCGACGAATGACAACAACCGCGAGCGCGTGTGCGTCGTTCCAATACTTGTGCGCGCTGCGCTGAATAACAAAACGAACTACTAATTTAAATTTTCCTACGGTGCTTCTTAAGAATCACCGTTGGAAATGCCTTCTTTCGTTGATTACTTCAAAATGACAGCTTTCCAGAAAGAATAATTTCACAGGGAGTTAAGTTCCCTTACTATCTTTCAACCAAGTTTGTTTTTCAACAATAATTACGCCAGTTACTTTTCGGATGGCTGCAAATGATGGACTATAGCTTTAAGGGCTGTAAGCTGCGCACAAGCCAAAATTCCTTGCTAAACCATGAAATACGCTTACCGTAAGTACAGAATGTTCTGCTAAAGTAAGCGGGGAGTTTTTGCTAACGGTAAGCAGAGCCATAGCATTGGGCCCTGTTTGGTTATCTTATTGGTCAAAGGAGTATATTGAGTACAACCTGCGGGCAAGTGTGCTTCCACCTCAGTAATACTTCAAACGTAGGGCACAAAATCGGTCACAGCTTTTTTTGTTTGTTGGTAAGCCAATAATGAAAAGATCATTTGTGTTTTGCTAACATTTATATAAGCACAGTCTTGAAAATTCTCATGGTACTTTTTTTTGTACAGGCGGACAAGTATCAGATGTACGTGACGTATTGCAGGAACAAGCCTGACTCCAACGCCTTGTTGATGGATCAAGCTGGTAGCTTCTTCGAGGTAAGATCAGGAGTATTGCAATGGTTTAAAGAAAGATACAAAACCTTAAATAAGTGAAACTTTTTTAACCCTTACATGTACTTTGTAGGCATTTTTGCTAGGATGCAACCTCAATCCTGCAAAATGCTCCAACTGCCTCCATGTAAAAATTGCATACAGCCTCAATCCTGCAAAATGCTCCAACTACCTTCATGTAAAAATTGCATACAGCCTCAATCCTGCAAAATCCTCCAACTGCCTCCATGTAAAAATTGCATACAGCCTCAATCCTGCAAAATGCCCCGTTCTTTCCTGAATGCGGTCCTTGGAGGGGTGATCACTGCCTCAATCCTGCAAAATCCTCCAGCAATCACTGTTAATATAATGAAGCAGAGCAAGTGACATTCTGGAGCAGTGCGGAGGATTACAAGTATAATCTAGGCTTAAATTTATGCACAGCTGAGCATAACAACACAAGATCCAGCCTAAGGCCTTGACACAGTGCATCCTCCAAAATCAGCCACACGTTCTTGCCATATAGCCTCAATCCTGCAAAATCCCTCACTTTGCAAAGAGGATTTTGGAGGATTTGGTAAGGTTAGAGTTAATGACCTGCATTTTGTTATATGCTGATGAGACTTGTTTCTTTGATTCACTAGTCAACTTTAAGGGCCTTGGGTCTTATCCGACTTGGTGCACTTTGCTGAATCTCTCGAATTTCTTCCCAACAACCAAGACTGAATAGGGTGTGAGCCTCTGTGATTACAGACAACACTAAATAAACAATTGTCTTTTTGCAAGAGATCGTGTTCCTTGGCTGCTGCCTTAAACTTGGCCCAGGATCTGTTGATTTGCTTATTTACATTTATTTTGGGGGGGGGGGGTAGTTTAGTAAATTGACTGAATTTTATTCACCAATATTTAAAAAGTAATAAAATGGATGATTTTTTTTTTATTCAAAAATGGATGATTTTTTTTTTGAAATTTATTCACCAATATTTAAAAAGTAATAAATGGATGAATTAAGGCATTGAAATATTATAACTCATTTATATTTGCCTTCCCAGCAAATGGAAGGCTGAAAACTAACCTGTTGAGGTATTGGTCTTTAGAAGATAACACTTTGTCGTACTTTGTGTGATATTCACAGGAGATCCAGAAGAAACATGGCTTAGGCTTGTCAGTCCAGGCTTACATCATCAAACCAGTCCAGAGAATCACCAAGTACCAGCTGCTTCTCAAGGTAAACGCGACTGCATGGCAGTATCCATGGCGGGCATACCCGTATTCGTCTGTCTTTCTTTCATCGGAAAATTGTACATTCTGCAGCAATCCAAGACCAATTCTCAACTTTATACCATCATCTCTAGCTCGTATTCTTATCCTGAAGATAATAGTACATTCTTCATTGTTGATGTGAAGGTGTGCAGTACAATACATACAGGAAATGTATTCAGAAGCCTATGGGCTCCATGCGCGTACAATAGAGGGCGAGAGCTCAAGGGCGGGAGACACTTTATGCGTACTGGTTCGTGCACGTATGGCGCAAAGTACACACCTGACTAATTTTATTGTAAATGTGCACACTAGCCATATCATCTTCGCGTGAGCGTCAGGCGTCGTCTGCAATGCGTTCAAATGTCTCTCCCAGTGTTCTCCCCAAACTCTCTCTTCCCTACTGTTGAGGGGGTACTTGCGCACAGAGCTCATACAAACAAACATCATTCACAGGGGGAAAACCCCAAAAAAGCTTACAAGCATAAACACGACTGTTCTTGATACCCAGTGTACAATGAATACAGATTTACAGTGTGTGCAAACTGATGATAACCTATTCCCGTTGCGCACTGCAAAATGGCCTTCCCTTGAAAAGAACTAGTATGTGCCCCATATTGTGAATTTCTTCTGCTTTTTTGAGGTTTGTCAAGGATTGTAGACTTCAGATTTCAGATCGGGTATATGTGCATTATTTTTCTAGTTGAAAGTGTCCATATTGCTGTCGTTTAGATTTTGAATCTGATATGAACAGTTTGGAAGAAAAAATCTGTAATACTGTTTGTTTTCAAAATAGGTGGATTTGTATAGTTCAGGCCCTACAAATCCAAGTGCTTTTGTTTTTACGATATCCTTTGAGCTTCAAGATGTTATCTCCCATTTTTCAGTTAATATAAATATTTTTATTCTGTCATAGGATCTGCTGGCGTGTTGCGAGGAGGGCAAAGGAGAGATCAGAGAGGCCCTTGAAGTCATGTTGATGGTGCCCAAGAAAGCCAACGATGCCATACACTTGAGCATGCTAGAAGGCATGAATGTAAGTAGATAAACGGTTGGTTGGTCTGTCTGTTTGTCTATCTGTGGGTTGATGTGAGGAGGGCAAAGGAGAGATCAGAGAGGCCCTTGAAGTCATGTTGATTGTGCCCAAGAAAGCCAACGATGCCATTCACTTCAGCATGCTAGAAGGCATGAATGTAAGTAGATAGACTGTTGGTTGGTCTGTCTGTTTGTCTATCTGTGGGTTGTTGTGAGGAGGGCAAAGGAGAGATCAGAGAGGCCCTTGAAGACATGTTGATGGTGCCCAAGAAAGCCAACGATGCCATTCATTTGAGCATGCTAGAAGGCATGAATGTAAGTAGATAAACGGTTGGTTAGTTGGTATGTCTGTCTGTTTGTCTATCTGTGGGTTGTTGTGAGGAGGGCAAAGGAGAGATCAGAGAGGCCCTTGAAGACTTGTTGATTGTGCCCAAGAAAGCCAACGATGCCATTCACTTGAGCATGCTAGAAGGCATGAATGTAAGTAAATAGACTGTTGGTTAGTTGGTTGGTCTGTCTGTTTGTCTATCCGTGGGTTGTTGTGAGGAGGGCAAAGGAGAGATAGGAAAGGCCCTTGAAGTCAAGTTCAGGGTTCCCAGTAACTCTTTCCAGTAACTCTGTACCTGGAAATCAGGGAAAACTTAAAATGTTTTCCATTTTCCTAGTCAAGGAAATCTCAGGGAATTTGGCAAAAACACAAAAAACATCAGGGAAAACTCGAGGAATTTGACAGTATCCCAGATGGGAAAGGTTTTTGCCAGTTGGGCGCATGTGCATCCAGTGTCGTGTGTCCAAGTTGTGTCTATTGACTGACTGGCTATGGTGGCTTTTTAGTGATTAAGCAGTGTTAATATTATCAGTGTCTTAGTTGCTTTGTTGCAGCAACCTTGTTAAACTGAAAATATTTCCCATGGAATTTTGGAAATTTCTCAGGGAAATATCAGAAAAAAACTTTAAAAATATTGTCATAAAGACTTTCATGGAGCGGCTTAGCAGATAACATCGCTTAGGAAATTTAAGATCTAAGCAAAAATTAGCTGGGAACCAGTTGCAAATAATGTAATGTACAGAAAATGGCATTTTGGCTGGTAACAGGTTATTGGTAAGCAAATATTTGCTGTGCTAATTTATTTTTTGCTTACCAACTCTGTCAGAATGTCCCTTGGTTTTTAACAGAGTCGTTCAATTCCTTTACGATCAATCAATTAATTTTGGCTAAATCTGATTTCAGGGCAACATGGACGGAGAGGTCATACTCCAAGACTCCTTCCAGGTCTGGGACCCTAAGCAGATCTTCCGGAAGGGTCGGGAGAGGCACATCTTCCTCTTTGAGCTCTTCCTCGTCTTCAGTAAGGAAGGGAAAGACAGCACGGGCAAGACCAAGTACATCTTCAAGAGCAAGTTGGATGTAAGTTGGATCATGAATCACAGCTTTTCTGTGTTTGTTTATGGTGTAAATTGAGGACACACACGTGCAACATCATCGGTGAATCGAGGTCAGAAACCAAAACGTGTACAAAACCAATAAGTACAAACAAAGGAAAAGTGAAGAGGAACAAAAGAAAATCCTCGATTTACACCATAAACAAACGTGCGTGGTGTGTATATGTGTGTGCATGTTCATCACTTGCTCAGTTCTACTAAACAGTACATTGGATCAACTTCAAACTTGGAACAAACATCAACCCTGATCCCAAGGTGTACATATTACTGTGCTGTCATTATGACATCATCAGGTATCAAACTACAAAAGATTTTACAGGGAAAAAAAATAACTACGTCATTCATTTATAACCATTAAGCGAAATCATTAATTAAGTTAATATTTTCTATTAAATATGTCAGACCATGCCTTTAGAAACCCTTTGAATCATGAGAGCTATGTCACTTGACCTTTTTGGTGGCTAGATCTTTCTTCTCATGAATAAAACGATGCGTTTCTCACAGATAGTTATAGGATAATGGTCAAGAGAATAAATATTTAAAAAGAAGAAAATCTTCTACAACATTACTTTTTAAACAGTAAACGGAATGCATAAATATAGGCTGATCCAAAATAAAAAAAAATAAAAAATAGAAATGAAAGTAACATGAGCTTTAACATAGGTAGACCTAATTGCCTCAGATTCATGTTTGTTACAAAAAAACACGTTTCACAAGTCTTCATTTGTGGAACAGTTGTCTTCGATTGGACCTCATACTATTTGTAATATCAAAGCTGACCAAAGCATTGGATTGTCACGCAGACTTCGGACCTTGGCATCACGGAGCACATAGAGGGCGACAGTTGCAAGTTTGCGTTGTGGACCGGGAGCACGCCGTCGTCCGATAACAGGATAGTACTCAAGGTGAGTGAGACAATCCCAAGGCTAAATAGAGACCCCTTTCTCTTTCAACACATTTAACATCTCTGTGTTAAATACCGTACTTATTGGACCTGCAGATTTTTAAAAATATTTGTATTGTGAAGTTTCATTTTCTAAACTTATAATCCAAAGATACTTGAAGAAAGATTCACTTGAAGTTTACACAAAATTAAAACAAACATGGGTCAATAAATGCCTTAATTTTTGAAGCCTTATAATCTTTGCAGTATTTTTAGGGAGGGAGGTCCAAAAGTTCTTAAACGTTATCTTTTTTCTTTAATCCCGTTCTTAAAACCCTTTTTTGCTAGACATAGAGGTGGACTTCATTTCAATTGTCATTTATTTGCATTGGGCTGAGGTTTTTTCACCCAATTCTTCACTGTCATTTTTTTGTCCCCTTTTCCGAGTCCTAAAAGAGTGCAGGATGTATGAGGCCTGCTCTGCACTGTCGTTAGTTTGCATCCAAGGGCGGATCCAGGACACAATTTTGGGGGGGGGGGCCAAAAAAAAAATTGGTCCCCCCAAAAAGTGGGTCAAAAAAATTACGGCGTGCGGTTCGGGGCCCGCTTAAGGGCCCCGAAAAAAATTTTGGATTCTAGATGCTCTGTGGTGCAATCTGAGGCAATTTCTGACCACTTTATAACCAATGTTTTTTTGAGGAAAAGATGTTGGTGTACTCATTCGCGGCCAGCCTTTATTGCGATGTCACATAAAAAAAAAAAAAATGGTTTCGTTTTGGGGGGGGGGGGGCCATGGCCCCCTTTGGCCCCCCTGGATCCGCCCTTGTTTGCATCAGAGTTCGGAAATTTTCAATCGCATTACAAAAATGTGAAAAGAATGTATCAACGATACCAAAAAACTCGTCTAAATAAAGTTTGAAAATAAACTTGTATCCATTTGCACTAGTTAAATTTGCATAAATAAACCTAATTTTTAAGCAGCCTGAAAATACCCAAACAGAGTTGCAGCTGATTTCACGAAACTTTACGCAGTTGCGGAAGTCCACTTGCGCCACAATTTATTGCGTAAGTTGCGCGATTTTTCACGCTGCACAACATTTCAGTTACGAAAATATTTCAGTTATAACAATTTCACGAAAATTTCAAAGTGCGTAAGTCCGCAACTTGCGCAGCAAATTATGGCGTAACTCAGCAACTTGCGCAACAAATTATGGCGTAACTTGCGCAACAAATTATGGCAATAAGTTGTGGCGTAGTGACTGAAAATGACCTATTCTACTAGCAAAATGTAATCGTCGTGGAGCCTGTTATTGTACAACCTATCAAGGTTGATACAAGACACGCAGCTTTATGTTTGAAGTTACTGAATTTTACTTGTGAGTTTTCAGAGTTGCCGCACGATTCCGAAAAAAAAAGTCAGACAAAACTATTTTCAAAGTGGCGGGCAGGGTTGATTCAACGACTGTTTCATGAATAAACAAAAGTAGACAAAAACAGTCATTGTAAATGCTGGTATCATCCTCGTCCAAGATGTTTAGATTAATTAAAACGATGCACAGCTGCGCCAAGTTTCGTGAAAAACGATTGTAAGTTTATTGGGCAGCTGCGCAATAAATATGTTGCGTAAGTCCTAGCACGGTGTAAGTTATGCACTGTTTCATGAAATCGGCTGTTTTAAAATTACCCTCATTGTTAGAAGCTCTGTTGTTGAACAATTATTACTTGGAATAAAGAATTTTGCATCTACAATGTACACAATCGCACTAATGATATCTGACATGTATGTCCAATAATTGTTGACATGTATCAAGGCCTAATTTTGATGTACCTTTTCAAAATGTTCACACACCTCATCAATTTAGATATTCTAAAATTCTTCTACGTTTTCATAGTATATACAGTACATGTGAATGCAAATGTTGTCAGTACAATCCTACTTTACTTAGATGTTCCGTTATGATCTTTACCAGCACTACGTCAACAAATTCCGCTTTAGCAGTTTGTGCATAAATTCATCCGCACTTGACCTTTAAAAATCTCATTGGAAATTCATTTTCAGTTCTCATTCACACCTTCACATTACCCGTGCACAGACTTGGGCATGATGCTTGACGTAGTTTGGGAGACATTATGCAAGTTCAGGAAGCATTTATTTATCGGAGAACTCGTTCAAACCATGTGATTTTATTCTCACTCCCGACAATCGAATCTCGGAGCCCAATTAGAGTTCATTAGATTAGCATGCTGGAAAAGCTTGTCACGTACGAGAGGCAAGCCAGCCAAGTTGGAGGCTGACCCAATTACAACTCCGATTGGTTTTTAAAGGGATTTGCCAATGTTAGAATTTCTGTGAGGGTTCTGTTTAGGGCTGGCAAGCCATAATGACAGCTGACCCAATTGTGAATGGAAGCCCACGTTGGAATGCCATGAGGGTAGAGTTGCGCTGGGGGTAGGCTAGTCAGCTGGGTAGAAATTGACCCAGTTAGCACGCTGATTGGTATGAAAGGGCTTGCCCATATTGGAATGCTTACATGTAAGGGTTTTATATAGGCATAGTCAGGCATTTCATAAGGTGACCCACTTTATACAAATGCTGGCCCATGTTGGAATGCCACAATAGTTGCACTAAGAGTTAACAAGCCAGCCGGTTGGAATCTGACCCAATTACCAAAAAGATTTACATTTAAGGGAGTGCCCAGGTTGGAAAAATGTAAAAGTTGTACTGAGGCACAGCCAGATTTAATGTATACAATGACTGTCAGTATCAAAGGGCTTGCTTATGTTGGATTGCCGCTAGGAATGTACTCATGATCGGCTAGCCAGCTAGTTGGAACCTGACCCAGTTACGACGCTGAATGGTATTAAAGGGCTTGCCCATGTTGGATTGCCACTAGGAATGTACTCATGATCGGCTAGCCAGTTAGTTGGAACCTGACCCAGTTACGACGCTGAATGGTATTAAAGGGCTTGCCCAGGTTGGAATGCCACTAGGAATGTACTCATGATCGGCTAGCCAGCTAGTTGGAACCTGACCCAGTTACGACGCTGAATGGTATTAAAGGGCTTGCCCAGGTTGGAATGCCACTAGGAATGTACTCATGATCGGCTAGCCAGCTAGTTGGAACCTGACCCAGTTACAGCGCTGAATGGTATTAAAGGGCTTGCCCAGGTTGGAATGCCACTAGGAATGTACTCATGATCGGCTAGCCAGCTAGTTGGAACCTGACCCAGTTACAGCGCTGAATGGTATTAAAGGGCTTGCCCAGGTTGGATTGCCACTAGGAATGTACTCATGATCGGCTAGCCAGCTAGTTGGAACCTGACCCAGTTACAGCGCTGAATGGTATTAAAGGGCTTGCCCAGGTTGGAATGCCACTAGGAATGTACTCATGATCGGCTAGCCGGCTAGTTGGAACCTGACCCAGTTACAGCGCTGAATGGTATTAAAGGGCTTGCCCAGGTTGGAATGCCACTAGGAATGTACTCATGATCAGCTAGCCAGCTAGTTGGAACCTGACCCAGTTACAGCGCTGAATGGTATTAAAGGGCTTGTCCAGGTTGGAATGCCACTAGGAATGTACTCATGATCGGCTAGCCAGCTAGTTGGAACCTGACCCAGTTACAGCGCTGAATGGTATTGAAGGGTTTGCCCATGTTGGATTGCCACTATAGGAATGTACTCGTGATCGGCTAGCCGGCTAGTTAGAACCTGACCCAGTTACGATGCTGAATGGTATTAAAGGGCTTGCCCAGGTTGGAATGCCACTAGGAATGTACTCGTGATCGGCTAGCCGGCTAGTTAGAACCTGACCCAGTTACGATGCTGAATGGTATTAAAGGGCTTGCCCAGGTTGGAATGCCATAAGAGTTGCACAGAGGGCTTGCCAGCCATATTGGAACCTGACCCAGTTAAAAGGAGTAGGTATTGCCCAAGTGAGATTGCCCAAGTCCCAAGATTTCTAACGCAGGTTTAAAAGCCGGCACAGAACTCAAGCTGGCTATATAGTGGAAGAGCTTGCACATGTAGGAATGCTGCAGGGTTATCACTGAAAGTAACTCTGCAGTTTTATAAAAAAGGACAATTTGTAGTTGTTTAAATTATTGAAGAATGAAGGAAATGGCGACAATGCAGACTGAATAACAACATGTTTTATTGCAAAAGATGAAATGACACTCAACAGAAGAGAAATATTTGATACATGCTACATTCAGGAATTAAATGAATTAATGTAAGGGAAGGTCAAAATCGCTCTCCCCACAATATTTTTTTTAAATGACGCAGTTCTTGAAATTGTCATGCACCCCTTTTAAGAGCCATTTAGCTCACACTGGTGATTTAATGGTCATGAAATTTATTAAACATGAAACAACAAATTCTGAAAAGATATTCATTTATTATTTTTTTGTAATAGGAGGAATTTCACCTGTACAAATAAGACTTAAGCTAAATATGTAATCATCGGAATAATCATTCATAGATCTTGTTTTAAATTTTCTTCAAATTGACTGCTCTACGTTGCCAGTCTTACTTGGTTTAGTCTGTCAGTCTCCCTTGTAGTTCATGTTCAACATTGACATATTTCTAATGATATGCCCATGTCTGTAAGGTGTGGCACTAATAGCACGTTTTACATATAATATTTCCCGACAACATGAGACTCCAGGCATGTGTGATGAAGGCAATGGTCTCCAATCTCGTCATCGACTGACAGAAAAAAAAGAACATATGCCTCAGGAATAGAATTTCTGCCTAGGAATATTCAGTTGCAAAAAAAAAAAAAAAATGAAAATAAAAAAATTCTGTCAGCAGAAGTCATTCTTTTTAAACCCGTCGCAAACCCACACTGGCTGAATCTGGATTGAATTTCAAGTTCTAAAGATGGAAACACCCCCGGGACTTTGTCCGCTTTTGTGCAAAGAAAAACGCAGTGGAAAATGTTCCCTCTTGGAAGGAGTAGCGGGGGCGCGCTCTTTTTTGTACTTCGTGTTCGGTTGCCGGCGGCGCTCACAAACATTTACAGACAAAAACAGTTAGCTTACCCAGATCAGGTCGGGTTTAGTTCGGTTTATATGAAGCGTGCCTTTTTTTTTCTTCTTTTGTTAGCACTTCTATTTTCGGCACAAGCTTCACCTAAATTACCAATTGCTGAATTGTGGACACCGTATCTAATGATTTTGAGAACTGTTTTTATTGATTTTAGCGAATATTCTCACACTCATAATAAAGGAATAAAATATTAATGAAAAAGTTGATAATTGAAACAAATCATCTAAAAGATTAAATTCACAGAAAATTGCTCTAAATAATAAATTCTTCAAGTCACCTCGTACATTGTTACAGGAGAAATGTAGTGAAATTTCCAGTTGGAGACTTTTTTAACACTACTTGTCATGTTCCTTCACACTAATTGCCTCTTTGTAATTATTTCTTTGCGAGAAGACACACAGTGTGAAGATTTTAACATTTTAGTCTTATTTTTTTTTTCAAACTAGACTGTGTATTGTGAATTCCCATTTGTGTAAAAAAAAAAAAAGGGCTCTTTGTTATTTCAGTATTTCAGAGAATGGTTGATGCTAGCATTTTCCATGCAACAAGTTGACGTTAAGCTTAGATACCTACACTAAGCGGATTTGCCTTTCATCGCAGGGGCCCAATTTCATGGCATTTATTTGAAAACTTTCCTGCACAAATTGACATGCCAAGCAAAAATTATCTACATTCATGTCTGAAGTTTTGTAAAAAAGAGTAATAAAAAGAGTACATTGGAAAAGCAGTACTTTGTAAAAAATGATTACTTGACAAGGTACTACCTAAAATATATTATTTTATTAGTTGTATTCCTACGTAAGTGAAAACAGTACTTGCTCCATGTCATTGGCTTAAAAAAGAAAAATTGAAAAATCTAATGTTTGAAAAATAATTAATTGGCAAGGTACCACCTAAAATATATTATTTTAGTAGGTGTCTTCCTGCATAAGTGAAAACAGTACTTGCCCCACGTCATTGGCTTTAAAAAAAAAAAAAAAAAATAAAATCTAATGTTTGAAAAATAATTAATTGGCAAGGTACTACCTAAAATATATTATTTTAGTAGTTGTATTCCCAAATAAGTGAAAACAGTACTTGCTCCACGTCATTGGCTTTAAAAAAAGAAAAAAGAAATTAAAATCTGATGTTTGAAAAATGATTAATTGGCAAGGTACTACCTAAAATATATTATTTTAGTAGTTGTATTCCTACATAAGTGAAAACAGTACTTGCTCCACGTCATAGGCTTTAAAGTTTTGTGTGTGTGTGTGTGAAAAAAACTCATTTGAATGCTCATAACTGATCTAATGTCTGAATTAGCAGCCAGAAAGAAGAATCTGCATTCACTCTGTAATAAAAATGTAACATTTGCCCTCCCCCCATCGAGTTCTTGTTAGATTTACATCTCACCGAAGAAAAGTTCTATCATCTTGTATCAAATGTAGTTCCTTAGCCAAAAAAAAGAGTCATAAGCCACCATGTTATGAAAATGAATCGCAAAGAGTAATTTTACACCTTATATGAAATAATCAGTTCAAAGGTTGCTAACATTCTCGTCTAGTTTTGTTGTTGGTTTCCAGTGACCAGCTGAGGAATTGTTATAAAATCTGTTTGTCTTAACCAGCACAAGTACGCAAATCAGTGACTCCATCTTCACCCTAGAGACAGTATTCTGAGAAGGAGGCTCCATTGTGGATTGCGTACCGAAGCAAAGTGGAGATTTTATCACCATTAATACATGCATTTACCAAAAAAAATCCTGTGTAATACGATTTGTAGGTATTGTAGGCCGTGTCATATATGTGACAGGCAGTCACTAACTGGCAAAACCCCACCCAAGTATCTTTTAACATTTTCTCTCCGTGCTGTATACTGTTGAGTGGACATTTTAAAATATGTTTACATATCTTTCAAGTAGCAAAAATACGTAGCAAAGAATAGAGCACTGTTGACAATTAGCATCACTCTGTCACAAATCTTTCCCGATTCTCTCGCCGACTAGGCAAAATAAATAAATAAAATAAATTGTAAATCTTATATAGCGCTTTCCATCATATCAACAATCTCAAAGCGCTTTGCAATTATTCCCCCCGTTCATGAGGCCGTGAGACTTCATAATCTAATTCTTTAAAGGTATAGTCCATCATTTGTAATTTGTGCATTTTGTTCGTTTGAAGCAACAAAAGTGTTCAAAATCTATAGAAGGGTATTGAACAACTAACCTGATGAAGTTTCAACTCGGCTTCAGCTGTATATTCCGAGAAAAACAGCATTCTAGGATCTCATTTTCAAATCAAAAGTTGCGGAATCATGTTTTGAATTGGGCCTGAATTCAGCCTCCGAGACACGTTCTCAATGAGCCGATTGCAGCTACGCAGTGTCGCGCACTGAACTGACGAATTATAGCAATTGCCCGCGCGCGTGCGTCGTGCCAATGCTTGCGCGCGCTTCGCCTCAAAACAAAACGAACTACTAATTTAAATTTCCTACTGTGCGCCTTAAGAAGCACCGTTGGAAAGGCCTTCTTTTGTTGATTTCTTCAAAATGACAGCTTTCCAAAAAGAATAATTTCACAGGGAGTTTAGTCCCCTTACTATCTCTCAACCAAGTATGTTTTTCAACAAGATTTACGCCAGTTATGTTTTGGATAGCTGCAAATGATGGACTCCAGCTTTAAATGCATAAAGAATCATTTGCATTTATCCCAAAAGTAACTTGCCACATTATCATCAAAAAAGCTCACTTGGCTTAAAGATCATACTGGTACTAAACACCCTGTGAAATTATTTAGTCTGGCTTGCTGTCATTTAGGAGAAATCAAGAAATGTAGGTGATCCCCGACGACGAGTCAGTTGACTGATTTTGAAAATATAGAGTGCTATTGACAAAATTGTTTGTCCACATCATTAATATCCACTAAGCTGAAACTTCAACATGTCAGGTTTTGATCATTATTATTGGAAACAAACAAAATGCACGAAAAGCAAGTTATCCATGAAAAGCAAGTGATATGCCTTTAAACTGTCAATGTTTGTATACACATATTGACGGTACTTTGTCACATGTGCATGTGATTTGGGGAAATAGAGATTCAGACGTCTATTTCAATTTCTTCAAGCCTCAACCCCCTAACTACTAAATTCTTGCTCAACAGGGATCCAGTTTCTGAAAATTCTTCCACATTGTCCAGCCTGTGTCAATCACTTTTTTTTTAAATATCAGATTGCATACATTTATGAAGATGAAGAAGTAATGTAACAACCACAGCAGTTTGTGATTTGATTTTTTTTTTTTTTTTTTTTTGGCAGGCATCCAGTTTAGAAGCCAAGCAAGAATGGATCCGTAAGATGAGAGACATCGTGACCGAGAGACAGGTCCATCTTCGTGCTGGTTAGTAGCCCGATATGGTATCTGTCTGGTAAAGCATAACCGCAACCAAAGTTTGGTTGTGGTACCCGCTGCTACAGCAGACTCAAACCGGCCAGCCGACCCCGGCAAGCTCGGTGGTCGAGTGCTAAGACCACTGCACTTGTAAGCAGGAGGTTGTGGGTTAGAGTCCCACCCAGTAAGCTCGTGAATTTTGTTCTTGTAAGTCCTCGGACAACCCTGAGTATACACTACGAAAAACGCAAAGTAAAATTTCCTTTTCGAACAAGTTTGAAAATTTTTCAAAACATGAACTACTGGCTCAGTCAGATTTATTGAAGCAACTTTTGAAAACTTTCAAATGAATGGATCCTCAATGGTTGTTTGAACATAGCATATACAGAGAAAATTCATCAATTTTTCCGCTTGACTTTTTACTTTAGCTCTCATGGATTCCACGAAGCTAACGGCACCAAAGTTTGTCGCCAAGAATGCGGCATCGTCCAGAAGTTTGATTCAGAAAACAGCAAGGTATGTTGAGAAATTATGATGACAAGTCCATGAATGTTTTCTTGTTAGGTGTTGTGTTTGAGAAATACTACTAATAATAAAGACCATGTTGTGGTAATTTCATTTTTTTTTTAAACGAAGCTGCTAGTGCTGAGTATTCAAACGTGCACTAAAACTTCTGCCCCCCCCCAAAAAAACACACCATGATATATGAATTTTTTGCCGTTGATCAAGTCTCCACATAAGTTTTTTGAAGCCTCTTAAGTTTGCTAATTAACATTTTCTGCTGAGGTGCCACAGTTTCAAGGAGCAAAGTACAAAAGTTGGCTAAGCGTAAAAATTACCCGCTTAGCAAAAGCCGGTCACCAGCCAAACTGTCATGCAATGTCTAGCACCTGTGACTGGTTCTCAGCCTATTCATGCTTAACACATAAACTTGCCAAGCATTTATCTGCTTAGCAGCTGTTTGATCTCAGCCCGTGAAACTTTTAGTGTATGGATTTTAAGTTGGTTTTAATTTTCCTGTTGTTTTGTATTTATCCTCCCCAATCGTTTCTATTCAGGGCCGCCAATCTAGAAGAGAGTTTCCTCGACGATCTGCTGCTGCCCCCTAGAGGCGACCGAGATTCACTCAACTCTGTCTCCACTACGAACACGACCGCCACAGTGGACAGCGACAAGGTAAGTTCTTTAGATCACGACCTTTGAATTTTGAACTTTGAACTACGGGGACTTGCCGGTGGTGCATTTCTCGCCTACCAGCTGCACCAACACTGCAATTTTCCTTCAATGTCTTCTCTCTCTAAATTGTTTTCAAGCTTTTGCACATCTGTGCCTGTATACTTTAAAGGGACCCATGTTAGATTCAAAGAAAACGGCTGCCCTCAATTACAAAATCCCCTGAAAACTTAAATTGGTTGTTGATTGTTTTTAGGATCGTTAGGGTTAATTAATGTACAAATTTAACTTAGTCTAATTGTGATATGAGTAACCTTAAGCTAGTGTATGGAATATTCCCTTGCACAGCAAGGGTCTATGATAATGCGAGCAGATTCAGCGATTAATTATGCAAAACAAGACTGCATCTTGACCTCGATATGCTGACCATGCAGCGGGCTCTTCTATATCGTATCTTCGGTAACCCATTGTTGTATTACAAAAACATGGCATCCAAATTGACCAATCCACAGCTTAGTCCACATTTCTGATCCAAATGACGTCACAGTTTCAAAAGTTGACTCCGATTGGCTGGCGCACCATGTTGCATAAAATTTGCATGTTGGGATATATCAGACGTTTGACCGTGGCTCTGCACACGTGAATGGCCGATCCTCAGACTACCCTTAAACATGACTGCGCAAGTCCTTGCCGTTTGGGGAAATCCTTTTAGGCCAAAAAAAAAAAGTCTCCGGTTTCTGGTATGCGCGCGTGTCGCCGTAGCCATGCGCGTCGGCAAAATGAAAAAGTTTTTTTTTCAATAAAAGATGATGTCTCAAAACCACCAAACTCACTGGTTTGACTGGAATCCTGCTGCTGCACAATTTTAACGTGTTTAGATGGGGTTATGATCGAGAATAAGTTTTATGTGGCCTCTCCGGACTCCCATACATTTGCACTAGGTTTAGTCGGGCACCATTTGCAGTCATCAGCCGACATTTGAAGCAAAAAAGACAGGTTAAAAAAAAAAAAAAAGGCTGCGTCACCGCACCACTTTTTTGGCAAGCTCCATACCAGAAACCGGAGACTTTGTTTTTTTGGCCTTATGTTTCAACAAGAGCGTCATTTGAAGAACGTCATGTGATGTGACTGTCATCTCTAGCCATTGTGTTGCCTTGAAGCATATTCCACAACAATCGGATTCAATAGTTATCCATTTGGATACAGCAATGAAATCCTCATGTCTCCAAGTTGGACACATCCGACATACTTTCCAGTAACCACAAGGAATCATCCATCACAAGCGAGACGCGAATGTAATTACGTTTGATGTCACGCCAAAATCGGTTCCGATTATGCCAGCCATCAAAAGACCTGAATTTAAAATGACGAGCGGAATCTTTCTCCATCAGAATTCCCTTTTTTTGTGGCCGCCCCTCCCCCTTCCCCCACATCTCAAATCTCAGCGTCAAATCCGTTCCAGAAGGCAACTTGTCATCATCTCCCCCGTAGTTCATCCAGTCCTCGGAAATCAAATTTGGAGGCAATCTTGCCGAGCCCGGCTCTCTCCTCTGACGTTAGCAGAAAGCATCATTGGTGCAGCAATGCAATGGCGTGTCTTTATATTTTAGCATTAAGCGATGTCGTTGGTTTGCGGTTCCGTGGGGCACTGGGAGGGTTGTTAAGATGCTGCTTCCCGTAAAATGGATTATCTTTTATGTTTTATCTCGTCAGTGTTTGATAATAATGGAAATTCTGTCTAAACTTGGCACAGCTATCAATCTGTTTTGCAGAGATTCTGTGTCTTAATCTTGGAGCTGTTGCCCCCCCGCCCCCCCCCCCCCCCAGCAACATTTCTTTTAATATCTTGGAACGCACCCGGGTGATATTTAAAAATTGGTTGTTTTGGGCCAAGCCTGCATGAGTTAATCATCTGATGATTTCTGCACATTTCCCATATGCTTTGACAAATTGGGACGTACCCAAAAATGTTAATGTTTTCTATTGCATAGGGAAAATACTCATTCTTGGACCTTGATGTAAATCTATAAATGACGCTAATGGAAAGACACTCATCCTGATTGGACTTCAACTGTGTAGATTTGCTGAGCAAGGCCTTTAACTTGTGCGTAACAAAACCCCAAAGTCTGTCAAAGGACTGTCAAGTTTTTTGTGTTTTTTTTTAATCTGCGGAAACCCATTCTGCTTCTCTTAGAATATCTAACAGTTGCTATACGTGATGACAGTTTTTATGCTTTTGTTCGTTCCACAACAGCCCCTGCTTATCTCCTCCATTTTGCTTTTGTTTACTGTTATTCTTAATATCTAAAGATTTAAATTTAAAAGAATTAGGTTTACCGTAAAACAATGTTAATATTTTCACTATACACAGCTAAATTTATCAATTGTTTGGGGTGCTATTTCACCATTATGTCGTTCCTCTTTCTTTATCAAATATTCACATGTATCCCTATATTCAGTGTAGATAGAAACCTTCACTTAAATCTCGACCTTCCCCCCCCCCCCCCCCCCTTCGGGAAATCAATTTAGTCAGATGAAAAAAAAAAAGGAAAATTTTTCTTTTTAAATAGAATTTTTTTTTTTTCGTGGGTGGGAGAGTGGGAGGATTTCAATGACATCCCAATTTCCCCCCAACAACTTGACATTTATAAAAGCCATTTTCCCATCCCTATTCGGATTCCGTCAAACGGATTGAGCAGGGACACCGATGTGTAGAAGATCATATTGTGTGCGCTTGGCGTTAAGTGTAGCTTGTCCAGTCGAAAATCCTTCAAGCAATTACTTTACCGCTGCCCGGTCCAGTCCAAAATCGATGGCCTGGCGGAATAGTTTTCCCTCTAATGGGTTGTCTGCAGGTTCCATTTCAGCAATCCCTCCTGATTTTTTTTCTCTTTTCTTTTCACGGAAGACATAAGATTAAGATAGTTGGTGCACTGTGCCTGCATATAATTAGGTGAAAGGCTAATACTGAAGAAACACACTTGTGTCAAAATTGACATCTCAAAAGGAGAATGCAAACAAAAACAAAAATATCAATATTTATGATCTCTGAGGTGATGGAGCACGCTGATTGTTTTCAATGGTCATCGCACTGAAGTGAAGTTATCAAAAGAGTACGTTAGAGAAGCAGTATTTTGTAGAAAAATGATATATTGGCAAGGTACTGCCGAACTATATTTAATAGTTGTATTCCTTCAACAGAAAATTAAATAAAACGTAAAACATTGGGTAATTTTTTTTTTTTTTAAAGCAGTATTTAAAAAATAACAATAAATTGGACAAACTACTGCCAAAAAAATGTGTTTAGCTGTCCTATTTCTACGTAGGTAAAAATAGAAAAAAAATAGCATTCTAAGGAGCACTGAAGAAAGCAATACTTTGTAAAAAGTAATAATAAATTGTCAAACTTCTGTTTGAAATATGTTTTAGCAGTCATATTTCTACATACATGTAAGTTATATAGAAAAAAACCCAAAACAACCCAACAAAACAAAAACAAAAACAAAACCCCCAAAATATAGTATTATCATGTGGAACGAATGTACAGACCTTTAAATTCACGAAGCAGAAAATTACAAATACAGGGAATAAGAAAGCAAATTGTTTTGTTTTAAATCCACTTTTACCACTGACTCATGAATACAGGCCCGGCTCTGATCCCTAATTCCAGCTATTATTCCCTGAACCCAGGTGACCCCTTTCATATGTCCGATATTTGTCCAGTCCTAATCCGGCTTTCCATCCTCTGGACAAACAGCCCCGGCGGCTCCCACTGGATATATTATAACCGTGAACTCCAATGGATTCCTATCGATTCGCGCCTTTTTATTTAGATAAGGCGATCGCATATAACGCAGTGGGCTTTTCATTATGTGTAATTCAGCCGAGAGTTCCCAGACCCCGTTTCTAAGCTGGCACTCGTTCGAGCTGCATGAGCTCTTAGAGTTTCTCCCCAATGCTGCTTTTTTTTTTTCAAGCTTCACCCAAGAATAGATCATTTTTGATTGTTTTTTTTTTCCAGCAGTCCAAAACTCATTCAATTTGAATGTGACATCGAATGAAGAAACTGCTCATGTTCAGCCATGGAATAATTAATTTCCAAAAAATATTGGATTTTCTGCCATCCAACAATTATTCAAGCAGTTAGTTTTTTGCGTTAAAGGCACAAAAAATAGGAAACCCACAAAAAAAAATTTTTCAAAGGGTTGCAGATGCTAAAATAGGAAAAAAGTTTTTGTTAATAAAAATACCAATTAGACATTTTCTAGGAGCAAAAGAAAATTGCATTTGTGAAAAACATGGGGAAGGAACTTGAAGTATGAATCTGTGGACAGGGGAAAGAGGCATAGTGTAAATAGAGAAACAAAAATATTGATTTCAAAGCATGCATATGCTGTAATTACCAGAATTAAACAATTATTTTCACTGGAAAAATATCAGAGCATATTAGAACACACTTTTTGGGTAAACATTTTCAATTGTATTTAATTCCCCATGTGTTAATCAATAAAAAACAAAACACAACACAACCATGATCATTAAAGTTGAATACCCGTGCTTATTAAAAAAAAATTGTCGTAAAGAAGTTTCAATTTGTGTAGTATGTTTTGATAAAAAAAAAATAATTCCGATTTTGGGTGTCTGCAACCATCTAAATTTGTTTTTTTATTTTGCACAAAAAGATGCTGCCCTGTGCAAGAGCCAAATATTTGTCAGGCCGCAAATAATTGAAATATTATTGTATAAAGAGAAAATTCAACAACTAACTTTTCGTGAACTTTTGTTCGATGTCTTATATTCACAAGTAAATTTTCCTCTGAAATTGCTAGGAAAATAGCAGACTGTTATTGGGGTGAAATTAAAATTACCACGGGGAACTTAAAGCAACCTGTAACTCTTGAATATGATTTCTTTGCCATATCTTGACCGTTACTTTTGGTACATTCCAAACACGTTTGGGTTCTTTTTTTCGGAGCGTTCATTTTGACGATTCGTCACATTTCATTGGAGTCCAAGTCCAGTACTGCATTACTGCTGGAGTGCTCTCGGCAGACGATGTTCAGCAGAGTCATATTTACCACATTTGAAGGGCAAAGCAATCTATGCCGGGTTTAGGCCGTCACTCTCTCGGGCGACATTTGTGAGACGGTAAATGTTAAAAGTCGCTAGATGGGAGATCCTGATGTTGTGTGGATTGGAGTATGTTCCATGTCGGGAGAGCAGGGTCAGGAAATATAGTTAGGCCACGTCAGACTAACCCTGCTACTGCCAGCACTTCTGGCAGTAACACGCATCGGCTGGAAGTGGTTTAAGCCACGATTTAAAGTCTGACTCAGATTTTCAAATACCGGTGGCCTTTACAGCTGAAAATCTTTTGTTTCAGAGTCTGTGATCATTTCTGCTACCCACTTATGTTGTCATCAGTCACAACTTTATATATTTTTTTTTTTGAAATAAATAAACCGTACTCGGCTTTTGCACAGTTTTTGTAATGTGATTTACTAATTGAACACGTTGACTGCCGACGAAAGTTTTACAGGGCGCCCCCTTTGCCAAGCGATGTACACATGCGCGCATATTTATGAGCTTCTTATTAAAAAACAATAATTTGATAAGTTGATCATAACCATTTGATAGAATTTTGTTCTCAAACTGCCAGCAGCTAATTTGGTGCGTTTTCGGCAGCGCCAGTATATTCAGTTTACAATACAAAAGCATTTAATTTACTACGAGTATACTTGTAGCGGCAAAATCCGTTACGCCTGTCACTTCCAATATATTCGTAGTCGGCAGTCAACAAGTTAAACCACAAGGACTATTAAAAAGGCTAGGTAAATTGAACAACTTGACATTCAAGAAGAGTTATAGGGTTAAAAAAAAGAAATACCAAAAAAACAATACTCCCCAAAAAACCTTGATTAGTGGTATTTCTGCGCAGTATTGATTTAGAGTCACTATTTGTAATCACCTTCATTCCCCAGAAAAAAAAGGTGGAATTTACTATTGGATAATTGTTAAAATTCATGTATTCGAGAATGTGTGAACATTTGTCCATCCAGGAATTTGTCCATCCAGGAATTTGCAACTATGTGTGAAACAGCAGGCAATATGAATACATTTTTAGATGACATTTGCAATTGATTGGGCCCCCCCCCAAAAAAAAAAAACAAATGGGGAAAAAATCATCACCATAGCAATTCAACCAAACTCACTTCTGTGGAAATAATGAAGAAAAAAAAATATTCTGCAATATATAAATGGTCCCCATTGACGAGCCTACAGATGTTGCGTCTGTGAAGAGAGGGAAATGATATATTAATTGAAACGAGTATGCATTTTGGCTTCCCACTCGATTAAATTTGACATTTAGGGGGAGGTAAGGTTACGGCGGCTTGTAAGACTCGTTTGTCGCAGGTATCGGCTCGTTTAGTTGCACAATACGAAGGGCGAAGCATTCCGCTTATGGGTCACATACAATAAACACTTTGCACCTTTATGTTCTGCCTCAGACAAACAGTATCATATAATCGGACCACATTCAATGAAACAACAGAAACCCCTCGTCCGTAATGGAACTGCCATATTCCTTATTCATCAATGCTCTGATGGCGCTATCCATTAGGTGATACGGGGGGGGGGGGGGGGGGGGGGGGGGGGGGGTGTTTAAGATTTGCGATAACGGAGAAAGCACCCTGAGGGGAATTTATGTTGCTCCATTACTTTGACTCCGGAGATGCAGAGAGTAAAAAAATTGGCGGACAGAGAAGCAGAAAAAAAAAGGCTTAGGATTATAAAGAAGTCTTGGCAATTTCCTTTGAGGTTGGGCTTGGATGTAAAATTGTATCAATGGATTGTGAATATGTGGAGGTTTCAGGTTTAAGCCTTGGGCAGATATTTGGAGTGCAGGAAATTAGAGGAAAATATTTGTATAGGAAAATATTTGGAAGAATAATTTTTGAGTATTGCTATGAATATAACAAAACTGAATGGATGAGTCTTAAAATTATTCAAACAATTAGGTTGTGAACATGTTCACAGGTGGGAAGTAATAAAACCAAACACATGAAATTCAAGAAATGAGTAATTGTTTAGTAGGTACAAATGAGGTTTCTATTTTTCAAACAAATCATTTGTCGTTGCATTTTTTTTTACAGGCTTGCAACTTTTCCTCGGATCCGCTGATTTCCTCGATTTTTACTTCTCATGAATGCCATTACAAATTGAAAAACACTGTACAAAGTCTTGTGTGGTTTGGATTTTCCTCGTTTTTTTTCTACTGGGTAAATTCCCAGTTACATGCCTGTTTGTAGAGTACAGTAGTATAAACAATAATTTCTGACAGTGTTATGGATGTCAATCTTTTATGGCTTGAGTAATATTGTCAGTACATGAGTTATGATATAAACATGTGTTCAAATTCAAACAGTCTACATGTAACAGTAATCTCATCGTTAAAATTTACCTAGTCAAATTTATAACCAAGAGAATTATTTTATGGAAATCAGCAATGCATGTGAATATCTCCTCAGAACTGCAGATGCATTTTAACAATATCAATACTAAAATCTTCGGGAATATTTTTAAGAGCTCTTAGAAAATGTGAATAATGCTTTGATAAGACATGATACTCTGTTCTCTAGATTTGAATGCTGATAGTATACTATCAGATACTGTGCTACAGCTGCTGCAGACTATCACACTATTATCATAACCACATTGATATCGCCATGGCTATTTAGATTCAGGTGCCAATGTCAACACATAGGAGAAGCCTAGCAGCATGATTGACACTAATATTATTAAGAGATAAATAATGCAACCATTACATGTAGTTGCAGTTTGCCCACAGAACATTGAGCAAGGTTTTGGGAAGTATACAAATATGGTTTCAGGGTGGATAGTTGATATTGGCTCCCCGCGGTATTGGAGAATTGACATGTATGAAAGTCGAGGAAAATCAATCAAGCGTTGGATTTTGTTGAGATATGGGAGTGTTCTTGTTGAAGCCATACATGTATATCGCTTCTTATACATGGCCAATATGAAGGGCCCCAAGCTTTCAGAATATGGAAATTTACTTACAAAACAGGCTAAGCATCCACTCAAGTCTATCCATGGGTAACTTATATAGTGTGTTTAAAAAAAAGAAAAAAACCCTCATAAGTGTCCTTTTTTCACAGTTTTAAAAAAATTCATTGCAAATATCTGTACATATTTAGAGAGTTAAGTCCTTTAGCTTTTTAACAACGAAAACATTATTTCCAATCGGGTAAATATTGATTGAGTTATGGCCAATTGAAAACAAGTAGAGCTTTTTCATTTTGTCCATGGCGACTGATATCTTGACTGCCGCAATAAACATCTAAGCAGTTAACCTAACAGACCTTTTCATGACTACCATTGCTTCCAAAAGGATAAATGACCGTTTTTGCAAAAAAAAAAAAAAAAAAACTGAACCAAGTAAAGAAAAAACATTAAAACATTAAAGAAAGCAAAACAACCTTGCCCCAAATCTATTACATTCCTAACAAATGACAATTGAGACCGTAATCAGCACTTATTTTGAATTGGCCATAACTCAAGAAATATTTACCCGATTGGGAAATATTGTTTCGTTGTTGAAAAGCTAATGGACTATACTCTCTAAATATGTATAGATATTGGCGAGGTATTTTTTAAAAGCTCCGAAAAAGAGGGTGCTTTGAGGTTCCCCCCCTTTTTTTTAGACGCTATGTTGCCCCCCCCCCCCCCTTAAAATAAATTCCTGATGATTGTCCCCCTTTTATCCCTCAGGATCTGAGAGAAAGTTCCGAGTTTGTGGTCGTCATCGAGGACTTTGACGCCCACCATGCTCAGGAGATCTCCGTCCAGAAGGGACAGACGGTGGAGGTCCTGGAACGACTGTCAACGCAGCCTGACTGGGCCCTTGTGAGGGCGCTCTCACCGGACCACGCGGGGCCCGTACAAGGCTTGGTGCCGCTCAGTCATCTGGTCGCTTCGGGCTCGGAATGTTCAGGTGAGTGGTGGGTTTGGTGTAAAGGTGCGTGAGTTGATGGTCGTCTGGTGTGTGTGCTAAGAAATACAAGTGTTTAGTCGGAACACAGCGTCAAAATCTCGCACAGCAGATTTAGAGTCTGTTACCAAACACGTACGAAGAGTGTGTGAATCATTGAGGGCATCGCCTGTCTATAGGGTGCAGACCTGTAAATCAACTCCCATAGACCTCAGTGATAATTACCCGTACTTCCAAAACTCACAAGTTCCAAAAACTCACAACTCTCCAAGGTGTTTGAGACGCCCATCAAATTGACGGAATACTCTTTACAAGAGTGATTTATTGTTATTATTATTATTAAATTAAAGATTATTTCATCATTGTTCATTTTCTGTTCAATTTTCGGGTGGTAATCTGATGACTTTTGGGAGAAAATTCCATCCAAAGGTGATCACCCCTAAAAGTAGTCCTGTGGCCCGTCGCCTTTTTGAAAAATGATACCTGCGCTCCATTGCAAAATAAAGCAATTTTAGGGCCCAATTTTATCCGTATTTCACAAAAATACGAGCTCGCACTCCTGTACACGGCTTCTACCAATCTTTTGTACAAACCTTCAAGTTCATGGTCCACAAAATGCTCCAATAGCAAAAAAATTGAGGGCATACAAATCGTGATTTGGCCCTCGTAGGCGATTCTGGGCCTATTTACAGGTCTGCACCCTTCATATACACTTGAAATACGAAGTCGAGTCTCCATGCCTATAGACGAATCTGAGCGCGTGATCACCGTACACACACAAAAGCATTGAGCAAGATATTGTGTAAAGCTACTCCCCCATGAAGGATTATCTGAACAATAGTTGGCACAATGCTTTTTGCCATTGAAGGGGGCCTTCATGATAGAAGTGACAATATGACTAGATTGTCTACAGGAAAAGCTCACAGTACAAGAGCGCATGAAAAGCATCATCCACGCGGAACAGTATATTCATTTGCACATAGATTTGGCTGTTATTGCCTCTGATGGTCGCTGAGTTTAATTTTTTTTTTGAAATACCAAGTCAGAAAAGATTTTTTTTGGCTGTCTTTGAAAGAGTCATGGCAACGAAAATATCCATTCAGATGTAAATTTGTGGGTACCTCTAGTGAAGAGTAAATGAAAGAGATTGTAAGTTTTGTAAAGTGGAGGAATACGTTTGCTGCGCGGAGTTATTCAAAAAGATGAGTGAACTGAGTTTGGTGTGATAGTCAGAATGCTGAGTGAAGTTTTGACAATGAGATGGTAATCAGGTGCTAAGCACACGATTTTCTGCTAACGGAGCCTCCATCTATTTCATGGAGACCGTAAGCAGTAGGGACACAAAAGGCAAGCATTTCTCAGAGGAAAAAAGTGGCGCAACAATAGAAATCTCCATTTGCACGCACCCGTTACGCCATGAAATTGCACTTAAGGTTAGCAGAATTGTATACTAATAGTTAGCACAACTTTTCTGCTTAAAATTGTTAAAGCAACGCTATGAAGTGGGTTCCAGGTTGGAATGAGTGATGGGTTTTTGTTCATGTTGCATGGAGGTACAACTCGTGAGTGTAGAGATTTGCCATAAACTTCATGTTGCTTTATAATATCATAAGAAGTGGTAGTATAATGGTTGATGTATGCTGGTATCCAAACATGTCAGTGATTTTGGGCCCCTCCCCTCCTTCAACCAAAATGTCAACGTGTTCCACTCATGACATCCAGCGAACAGGAATCCCAAATCTCAAAATATCTTGTAACTTGTTCGTTCGTGCTGTTCAACAGCCCAAATTCCTAGAAATCTGGATGACAGAGCACAGATTATAGATTGATCAATCAAAAATATCTGTCCACTCAAAAAAAAAAAAAAATGAAAGAATAAAAAAAATGGAAGAATACTGCCATTACTATGGTGATTCCTTTATATGGAGTGGTCGTTGAGATATGACCGTTGGTCTAACAACGCTGAAATGACAGACTCGAGTAGACACTCCAGAAACTATGCCATGAACTTTGGGCCTGAAAATTGCTGTCATGCTTTTGATCTCTTTTTTTCTTTTTCTTTTGAGCATGGATGAAATTTGTAATTTTGTTACACGTATAATGTGAACAGTGTGGGACTTTAAATGTTCGTGTACAGCTTATGCGTGTATAGACCAGTCCGGCATGCTATCGATTCAAATCACGAAGGTAACCTTCAATGGCGAAAGCATTGGGCTAGCTATTGTTCAGATCATCCATCGTGGGGTAGTTGCTTTGTACAATAGCATGCGCCATGGTTCCTCCATTGAAGGGGGCCTCACGGGTGTATCACGTGCCCAAATCTGTCTATACATTGTACATGTAGATAGTACCAAAAAAATGTACTTCATCGTAGTGTTCATGTTGAATTTCCTTTGATACCTACCCTTCCCTTTGTATATGATGCATTCAAGTGCAAAGTAACGGATGTCAAAATTTCTACATTTGATTTGTCCTGCTAGAGTAGATTTTCATCATTATTGGTTTTGTTTAAATGGAGTAACAAATCTATCTAGCCTGCTTGTAATCGTGCTTTGTGATGTGCTTAAGTTTGGTGATATCCGTTGTAGTTCTACTTTATGAGAAACAATTTGCGTGGTAGAAAAAATGTGAACATTTTGAGTGATAATTTCACGATGATGAGGGGAATGGCTCTGGTAACTACACTGAGAGGAGTTAGCTTGTTTGCAATCTGTTATAGTTCAGTTGAGTGAGAAGCAGATTATTTTCCATAGAGAGTTAACACCTAGTTTAATCTGAAGGGGTACAGTATTGCACCCTAAACATCTACTCCTGAGTTCGTGGATAAGCCATCTTCAAAGCTACTAATACAACTTCCAATGGAATGCATGGGTCTGCCTCAATCGCCTGCGCACCGGCTGGGACAGGACACGCAGCTTTCTTCACAACATCGCAGCTGCAGACTCAAACAGAATCAAGTGCGGCAGCCCGCAAACCCACATTGCAGCTGACTGGATTCAGCCCCGCTCCCTCCCCTCCCCCCTCCCCTCCCCCCCTCCCTCCTCCCCCTCCCCCCTCCCTGAATTGCGTACAGGGACTTACCGACCTCGACAATGCGACCCTCAACTGGTTGCAGACGGTGGACTTACCATCGTAATGATCAAGCTGTTGATTCATACGACAGAAGAAGAAGCTTACTCCTGCAGCAACATCTAAATAGACTTTGCCCCTGCTTGCTCTAGAAAAATAAAGTATGCTGCACCACACCCACAAAGTGTACCCCTGCAGCACCTGGAGAGTTGGCCCAGGTTGTCAAGAGGAACTATCGCACTATAGCCCCTGTTCACACAGAAGGGGTTACCCAACGGTATCCAGAAAGGTTTCGTATACCTGATCCACCTTGAAAATGTAACTACGATTACAGCCCCCCCCCCCAAAGGTCTTCACGTTGCACAATGGAAGACTTACTCTTGCAGCGCTTCCAGAGAGATAATCCTGGCTAAGTTGTAAGAGGTAGCTTCCACTAAAGGCAGGAAGGGTTACCAAGCTGTTCCAGAAAGGTTACCCCCTGCGACAGAACCCACAGATCGTTATCCCCAGCTCTCACAGTGGCGAACTTCAACCTTTTAGAGGGTAGCGCAGCGATGGACTTGGGTGTAGATGTATCCCTTCAAGAGTTACAAAGACAAAGCCGTGAGGGCTCACGGGGAGAGACTCATGAACACTTGAGGGTCTAAAAAAACTGCCCTGCGCATTACTCCCTGTAGGACCCGGACCCTCCCGAGCATTCAGTGGATTTATAACTTCATCAGGGAATATATACAATTGAATCATGTGCTGATATATGTTTTAAAAAAAATCACATTGGGGTATCATACTTAAAATGTGTATCCTGTTTCACCCATTAAAAAAACACACACCATTTTCTACTTTCGGTTTACTTTGTATCATCCCGTATATGGAAGGCTGCCCTATCTATCCCTCATAAGTGCACATCATTGGACTCCTCCTGACTGTCAGTCTAACAACTATGACCAATCATATCACAACTTGTAGTCAGGTGACCACTGTACCTCATTCAAAGTTGATGACAAGTATTGTTAGAAATGAACACAAACTAAAGATGGGCGGAGCTTTATTGCCAAATGGAATGGTCCATTGACTGCTTAAAAATACAGCCAGTCTTCCAATATTACCCCTAAGGTAATAAACAAAATCTGTTGTTGTTGTTCCAGTTTTTGGAATATCCCAGCTGCAGCCAGCTGCCAGCGTTCATCCTGAAACAGCTGATGTTAAATTGTGTAACGGTATCGGTAATCATTTTTTAAAAATGCGGTGTCATTGGTGACATCAATCCACTGAACATCTAGGTCTTGGCATAAAGCCAACATTCTGTCATGTTTCTCGGGCCGGCAGATCTACATTTGGGCCAGCAGCCCCTGGGCTAATGGACACCTCGCTGACCTCTTTAAAGTTAAAGAGATCACGCTCCAGTAAAATCAGTTAACGCCCGTATCTCTTTACCGTGTGTGTGCTTTGACAATTTGATAATGTTTTGCTGTTGGCTTCGTAAAAAACTTAAAGAGGTTTTCTTTGTCTGCAAACAAATGCGGCCACATTTTCCACAAATTTCAAGGGATCTTGTGTGTGAAAAATCCACTCTGTGACTTAATAGAATAACAGCACAGATTTGACACAAGACACCCTCTAGATGTAACGCGAGTTACCATGGAATTGTCCAGTGGCCTTCTCTTCACTTATCACATTGATCAGGTTTTTTTCCTTCAGTTTTTACTTCTTTGTTTTTTTTTTGGCCCCACCCAGTGATGCAAGGACAGTCGGTCTGCATAATGCATTTGCCAGCGCGATCACCTCACCCGTGATAATTCATGGCTGGTTCACCGCCTAACGCGTCGGTACCCACACCTCGGCCCGGTAATCATCATGTACAGGAACACTTCAATAGTTGAGCCATCACTGTCCTTTGCGGCAGAAGATATCCAGGGCTCGCATGTGATATTGATATGCAATAATCATGATTAATGTGGTGCTTAGAATTGAGTGTTTTCCTATCATTTTCAATCGCGCTCATAACGGAAATGCTCGGGTAATACCCAGATCTCTCGAAATAGTGAACGCAGGTTGTGGACTGTCATTGTCTATCAATGATTACACACTTCTTTTGGGAAATGAACGAAATTAAATGGA